CTTACAAAGTATAAGATAATAATATTATTATTAGTTGTGAATTCCATAGGGGGTCGTGGCTGTTAAATTTCAAGCAGAAATTGATGTATATAGACAATTATGATAATGAATATTGAGTAAATGCTTTTAAGCTTGATGTTTCAAGTTTGTTTTAATAATACACAAATTTATTTTTTACTCTGTTGTCAAAGCTATTAATTTGGTTTTTTATCCCATTTTCGCACACTTTGCTACAAACAATTTTAAATTTCCATTAAAAATATTTTTATTCTACCTGCCACGGCCAAGATGGGCAGATATATATATATTTTTGTGGATTGTTTTGAATTTTTTGTTATTCTTTGTTGTTTATACTATGGATATGAATTTCAAAATAAAAGTTATTGATTGATTGAGTGATTAGAAAATGATTTAAAATTTGGACTTGAACAACAGCTACTGAGGTTGAGTTGTTTGGAAAAGCAGCTGGAAATACAGTACTGTACTAAATATAAAATGTAAGATTTATGCCTATAGGTTTTAGAACTCAGAGTACCACTAATATCAACCTAAAACTGAACAGAGGTTAATTGAGAACGTAGTGCAGTTCAAAATAATGCAGATGCTTAACTTGCTGTAACCACGGTGTGCGTTCAGAACCGTGGAGTCTCTGGCTCCAATCTTTAATGAAAGGAAGGCGGTAAGCTGTTTGAAGCATGCTCCGCAATCTTCCTGTATTTGTAAAGAGTGGAAAGTGTTGAGCAGTTTGAGGCATGCTGTAAAAATTGTTTGAGCACAATGTCAATACAAATCAGTGTATGTACACTCCTTAGGATATTTAAATCATTCATTGCCAATAAGCAAATCCTTCATGTTTTACAAAGTGCTATTTTAAGTATACTATCTTATGTTTTTCTGTATTAAAATATTGCACAAACACAATATTGTATGCTTTGTCTAATGAGGTATAATAGTTTAACAAATTATATAAAAAAGAGAAAATGATGACAATTAATGTTACAATCATTATTAAGGGGATGATATAGGTGATAAAAGACTGTCGCAAATCAAGAAAATTTTAAACACTGATAATGTACACCCACTTGTCAACAAATATAACGTTTGTAAATCTGGTGGGTTTACGCCCCCTTAAGTGCAAAACAAACAAGAGTAGGATGTTGTTTGTCCAAATTTATCATTCACTTTGAACTCAGAAAGGAGTAGTATTTGAAAATATTGAAATTTAGACTTTCTAGTACTGTATCAATTAAGCCATACATAGTTTTTGATGTGAAGCTAATTGATAAACCAATTTTAATTTTTCTAACAAAAAACCTCAGTAAAATCGTTTCTATTAAAAGAGGGCAAAGTTGGCAGTCTGCCAATGGAGGCTGCAAACTCGTTTACCGTTTACACTTAACTTAGTTTTGTTACTTTGTTAGTCTTGACTTAATGGCCAATTAGATTAATACTGTAACTATTACTCTTTAACCAAATTGTTCACTTCATACCTCAATAAATTAATGATGTAACTGAACTTATCTGGAGTACTCTAGTTATTTTCTGTACTATGTAGTTCAGATTTTTTGTAGATTCGAAGGATTGAATTTAAAGTTAAAAGTTAGTATGTGTATTGTTTGAATTAAGGTAATTTATATGCTAAATTAAAAGAACTTGTAATAACAAGATCAGGAAAATATGTAACTCATTTGTGATGTTTTCTCGAGCTAATATTTTGTGTGTGATGCTTTTTTTTTAGGATTTACAGGATGGACAAATAAGTTTTATGACAGAATTAACTTTTATATATAGTTTGAGTATGGATTTAATAATAAATATTTCAAATTTTATTTCATTTCTTCACATCCAACATCAAGTGAACTTGCCAATTTCAGGATTTACCAATACTCTGTAAGCCTAAAAGCATCAGGGATTCTGATCCTTTTCCAACATTTTTTGTTGAACTCTGTTAAATTTATTTATTTTTATAGCATTGATACATGTTGCCCAATAAAAATCTCAGTATAAAAAAATACAAAAAAAAAATATTTTTATTTTTATATCATTGATACATGTTGCCCAATAAAAATCTCAGTATAAAAAAATACAAAAAAAAAATATTGTTATTAAAATTCAGTTGAGAATTGCAGAAGGTGTTTAATGTCATAAATTCATGTGCAGCTGTAGGTTTGGAAATGAACTTCTTATAACAAATGTTGATGTTTTTGTAATAAATATAATTTAAAGATATAATTTGAGACTAATACAGTAATAATATTAACCTACTTTCTCAGTGAACTTCAGCCAATCATATGGTCTGTTTAGTATCATTGTGATTGCTTGTCGAAGATAATTTTACAAATCTTAAGCCATGTCAAAAGTCATTTTTAAGAAGGTTTTTCTGATGTGTGCTTCATAGATCATTCCAATTTTGATGGGTATCATATGCATCAAAATGCAATAAGATGGGTAAAGCCCTATCCAGACTATGACATTTTATTTGAAAAAAAAAACATGTGAAATGCCTAAATATGGTCATGATGACATCACATCATGACCATATATAGGCACATCATGACTATATATGGGCATACAACAGTTTTATGTCTAAGAAATTTGATAATCTGGACAGAGCTTAAAAAAAGACACTTAAATTTGCTAGTAAATAATTAAAAGAATTTTATACTAAAAAATATTTTTAAAAAAAAGTCAAAATTGTGTCAATCAGTGACTCATTGAAATGACTCCTTTTTTTTATTCTTGTTTAATAAGGAAGTAATGTTTAATTTATTTTGTAGGTTTTTCCCAGATTTTAGCACAAATATGTATTAGTAGCATAAAGGCTACTTTTATAAAATTCTTCCATGGAATTTACTGATGACTTTCAAAGTGGAGACATGAAATATTTTCTAATTTGTATAACATCTTAAACACATTTAGACTTTATCACAAACATAGGCCTGTGGCTATAGTACAAATTGATATAATGAAATTATTAGTTGTATATTCCTAATGTACATTGTTTGGGCATGTTGACTCCATCAACATAGCTAACTATGTTAGTAAACTCATTAAATCTACATTCCTTTAACTTGGTATGCTGGCAGTGGTGTATCAGAAAGAATTGACATGGGGACAGTGGCGGTGCTACAGGAGGCCTAGGGGGCTAATGACGATGTATGATGGAATAATGAAACTGACGGAGGCTCTAGCTCTCAGAATGAGGAGATAAGACGTGAAATTTTTTATTTTAGTGAGAACGGGGAAAATCTGATGTGTGGCCTCTTTTTTTCTAGGAAGTAACCCATGCCCAAGGCTGTAGCAGTTATTGGGACAGTCCCACATATTTTGCCTAATGGGTCCACAAAAAATGGGTTCACATTTTTGAAAATGGGTCCAAATTATGCAGTTTTATACATAAAATGAGTCCGCTTTTTGTAAAATGGGTCCAGATTTTTCATATTTAGCCTAAAATGGGTAAAATTTTAAGAAATGGGTCCAGATTCTTCATATTTTTGCATGAAATGCAAATAACATTGAAGAAAATGGGTCCACATTATTTGAATTTACGCATAAAGTGGGTCCACCCTGATATTGTTCGCACTATATGAAAATCCTGGCTATGACTGATGATTGCCCATGCCCTACTTAGATATGCTACCAAAACTGACCCAAATTTGCAATAAGTTCACTGACAGCTTAAATGGAGATTTTGCGGTGTAACAAAATGTCTCATGAATGTTTTATTAATCCACAGTTTGATGCATCCTCAATTATAAGCCAGACTCATGCCAAATGGCCGCAAGGTATTCAGAACACATCGGCCTGTTCATCACCAAAACTAAGAAACGTGCATCATCACTCAAATGATTAGACTATAAGTTTTCGCTATGTTCCCAAGTACAATATTGCTGTGCTTACATTCAAATCTGTGTCTCTTTTTCATATCTATGACATGTTGAGCCATACGTATAAATCTAGATGATTATGCAAGGAATTACATTACATAAGGTTCTACATTTTTTATTGAATGGTGTAGACCTACTTTTACTGAAAAAAATATAAGTTATTTATTTTATACAAAACTTGTATTTAAAATCAACGGTTAGAGGGTCCATCCCAAAAGAATGCTACAATTCAAATCAACATCGCAGCCTTGTGATCAGTTCTGGCTTATCATCCACAATGAAGATTACATTAATAAGTACATAGATTGATATCTTCTAACTGACACCTTATAGTACTTTAAAGAATTGAGGGCCCCTATTATCTATGTTGTCTTTCAATATTTATATGTTAAGAATAATTTAAAACACAAGTTAAATTTTTTCCAAAAATATTTTAGTATCATATTTCAATGAATAATCGTAAGATTTATAAAGCGCACATATCCACTGCAGTAGTTGTAATTGAGTTGAGTTTTTCCCTTCATTTCAAGGTGCAGATAAAATAGTTTCTGATGTAAGATATATTATTATGAGTTTAGATTGTGTTTGTGATCTTTGGCATTTCAAAGAAATATGTGAATGCCACGGTTATATTCTACTATTAACTTCTGCCATACTATCTTTAAAACTTTGTTGTCATATCACTGTGACTGAATCCGTTACTCCTGAAAACTATGTTGAGACTGCAATCAGTGGCATATCTAGAGGTGCGTGGGGGACACGCTCCCCCAAAAAAATTTGATCGCCTCCCCATTTAATATGTTCGAAGCAAAAAAAAAAAATCATGATCAAAGTAGTTAAAAATCAACTTATATCACCTTATTTTGCAGGCTAGCACCTCCTCACTTAATCATTGAGCCCCCACTTAACCTTCGTTCCCCCATTATCCCCTCACCCATTTCAAGACTACTAATGGGTACCCATTTATACCCCTAGGTGGAGAAAAGCAATCATTATAAGAATATTTTCTTTCTAATGTTGATTACTATACTATTTTAAGTAGTTAAGATGAGATTTATATTTATTACTATTGACCCAGATTTATCTTATTTATTGTTTCTTTGCTTTTTACAGCATGCTGCAGATTTGGAGAAGAAACAAAATGAAACAGAGAATAAGAAGTTAATGGGATCTTGCATACAATATGGAACAGTCGTCCAGGTAAAGATTACAAGATATCGTCACACTGTCTTGGGTATTAGCCCATCCTTGGATATCACATTAGAATATTAGCCTATCCTCAGGTACAGCTTAGCATCACAGTATGTAAACTTGTCAATTTAATGATTGAAGTCTGTAATGCTGAAAGTCTCATCATAAGGGTAGGTATCAGACATCATAGAACACCTCTTTTTGGACACCCCTATGAAGAGGACCCCTATTAGGATTATACATTTTAAGCCATGAATAACACAATAATCAACCCCTGTCTAACAGACACCATATTAGTATTAAAGACATGCTTTATATATATGTACTTTTTGGTCCCTGTAATATGGGTTCTACTGTATTTGTCTGTCATACAATATTTGAATAGACTTTTCTGATAGAATACCTGTTTTAGACATGACTGATTAAACATACTGTCTGTTTCCAATGTATGTTGGACAATGCTTTACTTCCTCAAACACAATCGAACAGTTTCTATTGAGTCTTGACAGAACAGTCTGGTTGTTTTAATTGTGAGAAAAAAAAAATTAATTTCTGTGAGATCTGAACTTATGACTGAGATAGGAAGGAGTATTTCAATTACCAAGCCACAGCCCCACACAAAATTCTTAGATGTGGTCAGTTATTTATAAGATATTCATTAATAAATACCAGAAAGTGTTTTTATAGTACTATAATGTATTTTGATTAATTTATTTTTGTTTTTGTAGCTCCTTCATTTGAAAAGTAACAAATATATGACAGTGAACAAGAGGCTACCAGCTTTATTAGAGAAAAATGCCATGAGAGTGACTCTTGACCCCTCAGGAAATGAGGGCTCCTGGTTCTACATTCAGCCGTTCTACAAACTCAGATCTCTTGGAGATAACGTAAGAGCAATTCTAATGTTTAATATGGTTTTGAGTAGCAAGTGAAAATTTAATTCATTTAACAGTGGTTCCATGTTATCATGGTGATGAGACTTTTTCGCATGGGATATTTGTATGATAAAAGTGGATTAAGGAGTGTGGTGGAATGGTTGCAATGGTAATATAGTAGTTATAGTGGTGTAATGGTAGTGATACTAGTGGTGTGACTGATGGCAGGGATTGTAGTGGTATGATGAATGGCAGTGATGGTAGTGGTGTGAATGATGGAAGGGATTGTAGTGGTATGATTAACGGCAGTGATGGTAGTGGTATGACTATTGACAGGGATTGCACTGGTATGATGAATGGCAGTGATGGGTAGCGGTGTGAATGGTGCCAGGTATTGTAGTGGTATGATGAATTGCAGTGATGGTAGTAGTGTACTGATGGCAGGGATTGTAATGGTATGATGAATGGCAGTGATGGTAATTGTATGACTAATGGCAGGGATGCAGTGGTATGATGAATGGTAGTGATGGGTAGTGGTTTAATAGATGGTAGTGCTGGTAATGGTGTGATAGATGGCAGTGATGGTTGTGGTGTAATGGTTGACAAAGGTGGTAGAAGTGTGATGATAGTGGTATAATAGTGGAGTAATGCCAGTGATAATGTATGGCAGCGATGGTTTTGGTGTGATGGTAGTGATCAAAGTGGTGCAATGATAGTGCTGCGATGGCAGTGGTGGTAATGGTATGAGGGATTGCAATGATTATTATTCATGTGATGGTAGTTGTTATTATAGGTTGTGGTTTTAATACTAGTGGTTGCAGTAGTATGATGACAGTGATAGTAGTGGTGTGATGGCAGTGATCATGGTGGCACCATGGTAGTGGTGGGATGGAAGTGGTGTGATAGTGGCAGTGGTGATTATTGATTGAACAAATCAATAATCCCCTTCATTATATAGTATAGGGTCTGTTTTACACATTAGTCTAATCCAATTTACCAATGTTGGAAACTTGTTGCAATGTTTGTTAGTTGTTTTAGAATATGGTGACATTGTAGCACCTGAAGTCTTAGGAGCTGCCAGGCTTAAGCAACTTTACATTAGGCCTACATTATTTAAATTCCAGAGGCTTTGAGAAAATTTTAAAAGCACACATACTACAGAATTTATGTCTCCCAAGTTCATTGTAGTATGCATACTATTCATATTCAAATTCAGACAAGTATTCATTAAGTATGCCTCCTTTTATGCAAAAAGGTAAACATTTATATAAATTATGTTTGTGAGTGTAAATATTTGAAGATATACTGGTGTGTACGTGATATGCTTTGTAGGCTTTATGACAGTTGTGTTCATTATAGAAAGAAACACTACGATAATAGCTGCAGTACACGTTTCAAATGGATGTTATGATCTTAATACATACATCTGCAAAACTTAAACTAACATTTGATGATGTTTGTAAACAATTAATGTATGAATTCCCACATTTAAAATTATCATGATTCTACTACAACCAGTCCGATCCACTCTGCTATAATACAAAGCAAGATTTAACAATAGTGAATATAAATACTTTTGATGATCTAAATTGATTTAATGTCATAATTTGCCATCATTACACCTATGGGGCCTCTGCTTCTAGACATCACCAGGTGTTTACCAGACCCCCAGACCCCTGGTCTTATTCTTTCAAATTGTCCAATGCTGATAGGTTAGAAGTAGAGATCACAGATTAGTATATTACCTTTTTAACATGATTGGCATATTAAAGTGGGCTCACACTGAAATCATTAAATAATAATAACTCTTTACTGCATCTTCAAATTGCTCTATCTGAAGCAGCTCAGGATTAGATGGTTTTGAGAGTGTGAAAGTGATGAGATTTTCATCTTTTAATGGTGTTGAGTTTCTAGAGTAGGTATGTCTCCATGGCGATGAAGTAGATAATTATTTTTTTTTTAGGAAGGGTGATTGAATTTGATGAATTTGAAATTACATGAAATGAAGGACCATGATTTTGAAACTAATGAAAGGAATTTCACCATGAGATGAGAAAAATCTTATAACTTCAGTTACAGCATAGAATAGCTCCTTTAGTAGGCTTAAACAAGTACAATAAAACACAAATCAAAACAAATCAATTAATAAGTCCATTTATATGGCATCATTCCAACAGAATGAATTAGATGTATTACAACAAATATCCTTTAAATTGATTACTGGCCAATATATGATTTATTTATAAAATAGGAAAGAACATTAATTTTTATACATCCATTAATTGACAGGGTTTTAATTTTCTCATTGAAATGTTGAATTGAAAGATAAAAAATTATGTAAGAATACAAAAATTATGTAAGTATTTTATTATGTTTTTTAGCTGAACCGATAGTATGGTAAACTGGGAAAACTTGTAAGCTTTGTCCAGATTATCAAATTTTCTTTGACAAAAAACTGTTGTATGCCCATATATAGTCATGATGTGCCTATATGAAGCATGTTGTGGCGAAATGGTTAAGTTGTCTCACAGTCCAGTATTGAGTAAATGAGCTATAAAATATGAAAGCTCAAAAAATTGCCTAAAAATCCAAATTTGTTTTTCACTATAGATCAACAGTTTAATGTCTTATCATGTCCCAAAGTATTAGTTCTGGAAGTGGTTAACAAATTGTTTATTTAACATTATTTTTCATAGTTCATTCTATTAAACAATGTATGCACAAAGCACTTTGAAAGGCAATTACTCAAAATCATGTTTATCTTGACTCTAAGAGGTACAGTACATTTACTTTCCAATAACTTAGGCTTGAAATGTCCAATTTGAATGAATGACCCCTCATTTTAAAAATCACATACTCAGGTATCTGAAAATACCAATAACTTTAATTTTAATTTTTGCTACAACTTACCCATTTTGCCACAACATGCCTCATATATGGTCATGATGTGATGTCATCATGACCATATTAAGGCATGTCACATGTTTTTGTGAAATCAAATTTAATAGTCTGGACAGAATTTAATTCTTAGTCAGTGGCTGTTCATATTGTTTAATTGCTATGAGCAAGACAAAGCTATACAATTTGTGGTATCATGGGCAGAACCCAATAAATTTACTATTAAGACTACTAAAACTCAGCTGCACGAATTATAACATTCACAGAACATCGATCTCACATCACCCCTATACTTCGAGACCTCCATTGGCTTCCCATTGATTCCAAATCTTGCTACAGTACTTACTTTTAAAGCACTTCTGTTTAAGCAACCTATATCATCAGCTTTACCCACATTTATGTTCCTGGACGCACCCAAGATCATCCGATAATTTTTTTGCTCTCCGTTCCCCGCACATCCTTAAAAACTATTGGCCATGAATCTTTCTTTTGCCATACCTACACTTTGGATTTCACTCCCTGCACACATTAAAAACTGTTCTTCTGTTGCTTCATTTAAAACATTACTTAAAACTCACCTTTTCCATCATTAACGTGCACAGCGCTTTTGATGATGCACCTCTGTCGTTTAATTGATGCAATATAAATTCTTATATTATTATTATTATTACAAATTATAGATTTTCCATGTAGAATACTAATACTAATAGATGGAACACGATTTTTAAAATGTTTATTTTTTTTATTGCAAATTCATTCTGGATGGCACACAATGCAAAAGTGTTTATTTTAGCCAATTGAAAAATGTAAATTATCTATTGAGAAATTTGTACAAAAAAATATTATATTTAAAAAGACAGAACCAATGATTGATTGATTGACTGATACACCAACGTTTCTTCTTGTAATATTTATCTTTACATCGCTACATCTTAAAAGTGCTTTCATTTCCATGTTAATGATGAATCTCTTCTGTGCTTGTTGTCATTGTTAAGAGAAGAATGCGCTGGGACCTTGTTCTTTTCTCTTGCAAATAGTCACATGACCTACTTCTTAAAATTCCTTTTATCATCGGTTTGAATTTGAATATAAATGGAATTTATAATTCATCTGAACTTTACATATAATTATTATACTTGTACATCGTTTTGCTGATGTCATCTGACACTTTCAAATCTGGAATATAATGGATGGAGAAATTAAGATGTTATCACTATTGCAATTCATACGCATCTGTGATTATTCAAAGCACAGATACATCTTAGATTTTTCTGCATTTGTTTTTATATATGTTTTTTTCTTTTAATTTTAAGAAACTTCAGAATAAGTGGCAGAGGAAGACTACAGATTATGTGGCAAGATATAAAAGAATAGAGAGGAATTAAATAATATAGTATTTGAAAATAAAAATGAAGAAAATGAATTTTAAAAAACTAGACTTAGGAGCTGCTATGTTTGTAAAACAGAACATAGGGATTTTCATTAACTGATGTTAATAAAGAAAAAACATTTTTTTGAAAGAAAGAAAAATAAGCCAATGGTGAGACTCAAACTAGGACTGCTAGTTTGGCACAAAAATCCAGCTGAATTACATAGCAAACCATACTAACTAGTAAGGGTGGTATGGAAAGTTATGATAAGGACACAGAATCTGTCACTCATAATATTTTCCCTTTTATTCTGTTATTTCTACTTGCTTTAGCTCACATGGTTTAAAAATTGTTTTCCTTGTAGGTTGTTGTTGGGGATAAAGTGATTTTGAATCCAGTAAATGCTGGCCAACCTCTCCATGCCAGCAACCAGGAGCTTGTGGACAACCCTGGATGTAAGGAGGTAAGAAAACCTGTAGGATGCATTGCATGCTGCCTCAGAAGTATCCTAAATTTATCCTATTTTTCAGAATTTTATTTCAAGAGAATCAATAAAAAATTTTATTTTGGAGGATGCATCCCATCCGTTGGAGCGCTCAAATGCAAGTGGACATTTTTTTGGATGAGAAATTTAAGTTGGTGCTATTTACAATATGACTCATATGTATGCCAATGAACATATCAATCTCTTAGGAAAAGAGCAAGCAATTGTCTTTCGGTGTACTACCGAATTTACCACCAGAAGGACCACACTGGAAAAGTCGTCAGACCTTAGTGGGTTACCTTTGGCTTGGTGTGTTTCATACCAAAAAAATACCTACTGTACCTCAACCTAAAAAATAGTTGAGGGAGGAGACAAATACCATATTTGGCCTTATGTTGCATAATTTTCATGAGTTGGTATTTTGATGAGCTTTTAATCATCCTTCAATGCCTTTTGAACTATAAACATCCTATTATTTTGTTTAACTGATTGGCTGCAGTACATTGGCTCATTTTCCTCTTTCAAGATATTCTTAATACATTATGCATTACTGTACTGTATAATGTAATTACATTGTAAATTTGTCAAATCTGCCTGGAATCTGAAATATGTTATTTACACAGCTTAAATCTGAAGTCGCCATTTGCTATATACATTACTCCATTACTTTTTGCCATCTACACATCTGACTTAAAATTTATTTTACATTACGCATTACTGTTCTGTATACATAGTGTAATTACATTGTAAATTTGACAAAATTGCCAGGAATCTGGAATGTCTTTACGTTCAGAGCTTAATTCTGAAAGTCACCATGTGCTTTCTATGTTACCCTGGTCAAAATCAATCATGCACTATCATCCCCAGGGTAGCATGCCTGGCCGTGCTAGCAACTGCAGATTATCCACTTCCTACCAGGTACCCATTTATACTCGTGGGTGGAGAGAGACAAATTAGATAAATCTTTATGCCCAAGGACACGAGCAATCAGACTTTTACTTCTATAGGATGTGTTCTCATCAACGCCTTTTCAGGAACTGATCGAGAATATTGTGTGTTATGCATTTGATGTGAACTCGAATTCACAACTACATAGAGCCAAATAAAATAAATTGTTTGCCCTTCTTTTTTTTTAAATGATAAATAGGGGCGGGTGGAAAAAGTTTTTTTTAATTAATTTTTTTTTAAATACTCATTAGATGGAATAATAAAACCCACAGAGGCCTAAAATGGCAATATATTACATCAGACAACAACTTTAGACTAATTTGTAGGGTATCTGGAAAAAAATAAAGATAAATTCACTCACATTTTTTATTAATATGTAAAGAAAAGAGCTAAAAAAAAACTTTTTAAAAGTTTTTTGTTATGTTTTTCCGCCCCTATTTTTTCAGTGAGTTAGGGGCGGGTGAAGGAGGGCAAACAAACAATTTTTTTTTTTTTGGGCCTAGCTAGGTGTCCAAAGCTTCCATTGTGTTAGATACTATACTGCACCTCCACATGTGTATGCGTGAGGATGCTAATTTAAGAGAATACTTATTGTGCTCCCAAGGTTAAAATAAAAGTCATTAAATTAGGTAGTAGTAATGACTAAGGTTCTGTTTCGTGTCTGCAAGTCACTAGGCTTCATTCCCAGGTGTCTGAATTCTGCTTTTGAACAGGATGTATAAGAGACTTAATTGGCAGAAAATTTTGACTTTGTGACCCTAAGACTAATAGAAAACTCATGTGACCTGCTGAGGGGGTACTTTATTTCCATGGTAACAATTACAAAATTGAGATATTTTTTTCCTTATTCAGTTTCAGTTTAAGGTGTTGATGTGGCTGATGTTAATTTTGAAGAAAAAGAAATTAAAAATATAAAGTAGACCCAAAAGAAGATTATAGTATACAATGTTCTCTTGAGCATATTCTGTCTATAAATTACCCTTGTATATAATTTCATTATGGAAAGTAGTGCTACGTCATTTAGATTGTGTCATTGATGCGAAATACACTTGAATTACAATATTCTTACCTAATACATGTAAAACTATAACTATGACATGGAATTATTAGTCCACTGATACTTGGAAAAACTATACGCGCCTTCTAATGAAGTTATAATTTAATGATGTTGTGTTGTCAGTAAATGTGACATTCGCATAATAATATCAGTCTGATAAAGCACCTCCAGGGACATTACGTTATTACATTGGTCATTGCACCAATGCCTGATTCATATACTGTTTTCTCTAATTAGCTCCCCATGGAGTATTTTATAATGTAGTAACCAGCACATTGACATTTTTGACCTAAAATAATGACCTCTTGGTTGGAGAGAGACAAAATAGATTAGTCTTTCCTATGGATATAAGTGGTTTAAGAAGGATCGAACCATGACCATCAGAAAATGTTAAAAGTTACAACCACTGTACCATTCAATTTTACAGAATGATTTCAAGTAGATTTCAACATGAATGTACCATGTTTGTGTGAAGAAGTGTAGGCACCAGCAGGTTAAAAAGAGAAAATGTTATTACTTTAGACAAACATGGACCCCCTGATTAGATGCCTCTTGAGATTATCAAACTAAAATTATGTATGTGCCTGTTCAACCAGCTATATTTTATTGCAGATTCTTATATTATGATCTGCTATTCTAAACCATAAAATATAATAATAAGAATAATTCTAAATATGTATATAGAACCAATTTCAAATGAATAATCAAAGGCGCTGAGCGTTATATTACCCCAGGTCACTGGATAACATACAATGGCATACAAAGTGCAACCTTCTCTACTCCCAGGGGAGTATACCTACTGTAGTCATGCATGTGTACTCAGCACATGAAACTAGTACATTCAATGCCACAACATCCTACCAGGTACCCATTTATACTCCTGGGTAGAGAGAGACAAATGTAGGTAAATTGCCTTGCCCAAGGACACAATTGAATCCCTGACCTCAAGGTTGGGGGTCCAAGCCACAGCTTAGGTGCCTCCCGCTTCCACAATATCTTCTTGACCCCACCACAAGTTTTACTCCTGTCTGACTGGTTGGACCCCCCTGTCAGCAGATTTCTGGTTGCCACCATTGGTTTGAAACTTGGCCAAATTGTTATTAATATTGTCGATGTTAAGAAATCCTTGATAAACTATGACTTTAGAAAATAATGTAAATGTTTGATTTTTGATAGGTGAATGCTGTGAATTGCAACACATGCTGGAAGGTGTCTTTGTTTCTTGAAGACCGAGAAAACATGGAAGATGTCCTGAAAGGGGTATGGCGTAAACATATTCATCACCAATAATAATAATGATGATATTATGTAATAATAAAATGATAATCATCTAATTTTAATACAGAGTTCAATACAATAAATTTCATGACACAAAAATGAATAATTAAGGATAATATGTACAGTAGAACCCCTCCTTTAGGACACCACTTTTAAGTGGATATATTTTCGGCCACAAGATGAAAGAAAATATACCTTTTATCACTATGACCAACCTCTATTCAGGGGAACCCCTAATAAGGGGACACCCCTAATAAAAGTACACCCCTAATAAGGGTACACTTTTTTTTTGGTCCCGAAGGTCTCCCCTCAACAGGGTTCTACTATACCTTATTAATAGTAATTATTATTTATAATATGAAATGTATATTTGCTTTATCTGATATTTTCTGATAAAAATATGGTCATAGGGTGATGTCGTCAGACTGTTCCATGCAGAACAAGAAAAGTTTTTGACTGGGGACGAGTATCATAAAAGAAATTATGTGTTCCTAAGGACAACAGCAAGGGCATCGGCTGCCGCTGCAACAAGTTCAAAAGCCTTGTGGGAAGTTGAGGTAAAAAGCTATTGAAATACATAGATTTTATTAACCTCAATGCATGCTGCTTCAATATGTTCTTCACAAGCATTAAGGATGCTCTTGATTTTTCTTCTGTTTATCTGATGATGTGTTTTTGTTATTGCTATTGTGTTTTCACTGATTGGATTTGTCACTTAATTAATTTCTAACCTGTGTGCTTTTATTTGTTTTTATAGTGTTGTACTCATTTTATGTGTTGTGAAATATGAACAAAATTTTGGTACCATAATAACTTTAGGTAGATAGATTTCTTTTTTTGTACTTCAAAAAATAAAACAAAAGTGTTATTTTCCTCAACTCTTTTTTTCTCCCTTTCAGGTGGTACAACATGATCCCTGTCGGGCAGGTGCCGGACACTGGAACAGTTTATTCCGGTTCAAACACCTGGCTAGTGATCAATATTTAGCAGCTGAGGTAAGGACAAACATATCAATCTTGTACCTGAGCTGGTAATTTTAGAAGGTAGCTTTACCCTTCTTTTATTTATAAAATTTATTGATAAACTTGTTTTGTAGTGATATTGTTGTTTTCCATGTTTCTGAACCGTAGAGCAGAATTGACTTGACATTTGTATTGAAAAGGCCAATCTTGGTATTGTTTGAAATATTTGAGCCTAAGGAAATCCATATTGGTCGCAGGGTCCTGAATACATGTCGTGCCTTTCCAATACGAGCCTCAACGTCCTTTTCAGCTCCATCATCAGTGCAAATGATGCTGCCCAAATAAATGAATTCATGAACATCTTCAACAATCTCTTTATTAACTGTTATGAGTTCGTGAGATTTTGTATTAATTCTCATCACTTTTGTTTTCGTATTATTGATCTTTAGACCAAGTTTTCTGCTTACTGTTTGGAGCATATCAGTTTTCTGTTGTAAATGCCTATAATTTTGTGAAAACAGGCACATATCATCAGCGAAATCCAAATCTTCAAGTTGTGTGAAGGTTGTCCATTGAATTCCTGTTTGGCAAGTTCCAGTTGCATTTTTCATTGCCCAGTCAATGGCTACAAGGAATAGTAGTGGTGACAATAGGCAGCCTTGCCTAACTCCTATACTGATTTGAAAACTGTCAGAGAGTTTTCCCTTGTAGATGACTTGACCAGAAAATCCATTGTACATACTTTTCATCACATTGGTGAACTTATTTGGAACACCATAAGACCTAAGAAACTTCCATAGTGTTTCCAAAGTTGATGAGTAAGGAACTTTGCCATTCAATACACTGCTCCAAAATTACCTTTAAAGTAGCAATATGATTGATACATGGCTTGTCTCTTCTGAAACCAGCCTGCTCTTTTCGTAGCTGTTGGTCTAGAGCGGTCTGCATCCTATCAAACATAATGCGACAAAGTATTTTGCTAGGAATAGACAGTAGCATAATGCCTCTCCAATTCTGGCATTCACTAAGGTTGCCATTTTTTGGGATCTTCACAAGCAAACCTTTCTTCCAATCTGTTGGAACCTCTTCTTTTTCCCAGATTTCATTTAGGAGGCTATATGGTAGATCTTGCCGCATTCTCAGACAAAATTTTATAAAGCTAGCGGGTGATTAGTTCAAAGGCAGCCGCCATTACTGGAGGACCAGGTTGATTGCGTTTCATCTCACCCTTTCCCCTTTGACCTGCCCGGCTTGGTTAAACCTGCCAGTAGCTAAGCTACCGCCAGTTTAGCTCTCAAGATCGTAAGGGTACGCAATCCGCTCCGCCACAACAAGGCACACAACCATCTGTCTCTTATACACATCTTCTCCCCTCAACAGGGTTCTACTATACCTTATTAATAGTAATTATTATTTATAATAGGAAATGTATATTTGCTTTATCTGATATATGGTCATAGGGTGATGTCGTCAGACTGTTTCTAATGTAAATTTTGTATAACTAATTTAATATTTCAATTATTATTGCATCTATATGGATATATCTTAGACGTAATATTATAATGTAATGCTTTAGTCACTTTTGTTTTTCTCTGTCATTTATATTAAGTGTATTATGTAAGTAGAAGTAGTCATTAGTTGGTTTAGGCTGCTTTTGTGCTTTCCTGGCAGCTAATGACTATGGTATATTTAATGTATTGTCAATGTTATGTTCGTTTGATTTTTTTCTGATTTGTATTATATTTTGTATATTGTATCTTTTGCCTGAATAAATAATAATAATGACATTCAACAATGAAATAGTGCCCATGTGAATTAACTAAAGTAGTACAGCTTCTCATTTTTCTTTGCTTTGGTTAGTAGCATAGGGTAGCTTTGCTGAGATTAGTAATCTTACTGTTTGTAGCTATCCACAGCAAATGTATTTTTTACTTTGGTTTAGCCTGAAATTTATTCATTAGATTTTTTAGACTTTCAAATGTCATATAAGTGTTACATGTGATTATTTTTTTCCTAAATAAATGTTAATAGCTGACAAATCCACCTTATGTTTACGTCATCTTGGACATAACCATCACAGAAAACAAATTTAGATTTATTTATTATCAACATTAATATAGCCATAGGAATTGAATCTGAAGATTTGTGACAATGGAAAAAATTGAAATGTCACACTTCAGCTACAAACAGATGTTTCGCAAAGGAGGTGATTTGCAGAGCATGATACATTATGCTGTGTATGGATTGTTTCTGGCAATGAGTTTTATTTTTGTTTGATTTTATTATGATCGTAAATCATATTTTTAGATTTCATATTTATATTTTAAACTGTTTATAGGATGATAACGATACAGCGCCAGATCCTACTCGACAGAAACTAAGAGGTTCTGGCCGCGTTTGTCATCTAACCCCTATTGAGCACGGTCATGATATAGCGTCTATTTTTGAGTTGGACCCTACCACTTTGCAAAGAGGGGACTCCCTAGTTCCAAGGTAAATCTTTGCTTTCGCATTAAAATATTTGAATGAAATGTTCAAGTATGATGTAGTATGACCAGTTTCCTTTTTGGGATTGTACTTTTACTTTGCCGAATAAATATTATTATCTTTATTATTCGTCACAGCCAATCCTTGAATTATGACACTCTTGTATAGTTAATCATCGGGGGCTATAATAATGGTATCATCAAATGCTAACCATTCAAATACTTAGAATGATGATAAGATGGCATTTTCATTGCACCTAGTATTTCACTATTCTTCTATAAATTCTATGGTTAAATCATGCAAATTTGTGTTGACTACGCAACTTGGTCCCATCTCAATGAGTTGAGCAACTCAATGGTAAACTGTTTTTTGGTTAGAATAAGTGTGGATAATGAACATTATTTTTACATTTGTTAGAATGTTATTTAAAAAAAAATACTTATCCAACATTCTATATCATCACCAATTTTATACTAACATTTATTTGCTATTTTCGCTTCAGGAAATCGTATGTCCGTCTACGCCATTTGTGCACCAACACGTGGGTTCATAGTACAGCAATTCCATTTGATAAAGGAGAGGAAAGACCTGTAATGTTAAAGGTGAAGTAAAAACATTGTTATGAATAATGCTTGACTACATTCAAATGCATTATTGTTTTAATTTTAACGTCTGTGGCAAACAGATCTGGGTAAAACTGGGAAATCATTTTAAAAAATTGCTTCAATACTAAGCTAGTTATTAATTTTGTTAACTTTTCATTCAGGTTGGTACTGCTGAGATACGAGAGGACCGTGAGGCTTTTGCGATCAATCCTGTCTCACCTACGGAGGTACGTGATCTAGATTTCGCCAATGACGCTAACAGGGTGCTCGCTTCAATAGCGGGGAAGCTGGAGAAAGGGTCGATCACTCCTAATGAAAGAAGGTACTTTTTTGTTGGTTGTCTACATATCGGTCTCACTGAATGCCATACTGGTTATTATTGCTTTCCATTATGTGTGATTTGTTTTCAAGTTTCTTACAATACTTTTTTCATAATGTTGTCTGTACTTAAAACTGTATTCTTTCTTCTACCCATTGCAAAACATATACTTTAATATATTTTGTATTTATTGTACTATATAAATTCATTGTTTGATACTGTACAAAGTAAATGTAAAGATTAATCACCTCTGTATCTTTCTGACTGTCCATCTTGTAGTTTGCCAAAGTTTTTTAGAATTGGTTGATAATTTCTAACATATTTTCACAGGCGTCAAGAATGTTTAAAATAAGACAGATCATAATATATTTATAAGCAAACTCAAACTGATAACCTTTTTATCATACTTTTAACTATATGCCTTGCAAACGTGACAGACATCTTAACTATTGTATGTACTGTGTACATCACATTTTACTAAATATCACTTGAAAACAGAGCACTTGCTTCATGTCACATAGTATATAAATAACTACAAATATTTGTAAACTGATATTTGAATGCCTACCTGCTTTTATTAAGGTTTTTCTTGTTATTGGTAAACTCGTTAATTGTAGGCATATTTGTAATATGCTTCGGTTAGCATTGTGTAGATATACCCATGTTAACCTTAGCCACTCCAATCTCTATGTAAATTAGTTGACTATGCATTATATTGTACTATAAATTTGAAACATGACATTTTTTGTTGTATTACATTCATATGTATCAGAATGAGCATAGGGGCCTGCTTTTGATAACTTTTTTCATTCGTCCTTCTATCCATCCATCCATTCATTTATCCATTCATTTATCCATCCATCTATCCATCCATCCATGAATCCATCCCTCCATCCATTCATCTAACCATCCATCCATCTATCTATCCATCCATTCATCCATCCATCCATTCATTCATTCATACATCCATCTATCTATCTATCCATCTATCTATCCATTCATCTATCCATCCATTCATTTATCCATCCATCTATTCATCCAACCATACATCCATCCATCCATCCATTCACCTTCCCACCCAATGAGTTAAATGAGTATCTTGTTAGGTTATATGCTACTATGTTGAATAGGATGCGACTGCATAAGCACTGATTAACACCATACAATGTGCAACCTCTTCCATTTCTTGAGTGTTCCCAGTTGTACATGTACTGCCAAAGACCAACTCATTTTCTGTCTCTTATATTTTCTTTTAATAGATTTGTTACACAGCTCCTTCATGATCTCGTGTTCTTTGTGGCATCACAGGCCAATCAAAATAGAGATCCATTCGCTGTTGAGGTTAATGAACCTGATAGGGACAGACAGAAGCTTATGAGAGAGCAAGACATTTTAAAGCAGGTATTGATTTAGCCTCATCAACACATTTGAAAAAAAATGTTTGAGTTTATTAGTCATAATCATCATTGCCAATGCCATCATCAATTTCATCATCATCATCATCATCATCCGTTTATAATTGTCTTCATGATCATAGTCATTGTTATTGTAATCATCAAATTATCAATATTATTTACATCATGTTACTATTAATTATAATCATGAATATCCTTGTCTTTATCGTTATTATTTTGTTAATATTATTATTATCCTTATCATGAATGTTATTGAAACAAAATTCTTCAATAATAAAACCATATATTTTGTATGATGGTTTTATTATAGAAGAATATTATTTTGATTATTTTGAAAACCAATGAAATTGATCATTGTTTTGTATTATTTATTGATAATCTAACTAATGATATTGTTATCATCGTATTTCATTGGACTACAATTATAATTTTTCACCAGATTTTTAAGATCTTGAAAGCTCCATTCGTCGATAGTGGTGAAGGTCCCATGCTGCGAATGGAGGATTTAGCCGATGCCCGTCACGCTCACTATCGTAACATTTGTCGGCTCTGCTACCGTATCCTCCGACTCTCCCAACAGGCATATCGCAAAAACCAGGTCGGTGTCACTAGTACTGCCGTAATATTTATTCCAGATTACTTCTTAGTAATCTGATATGATAATTCACTATCCTGTTTTCAGATGCCATGTTTATTTCACATAATAATTTAGGAGGATAAAGTGAGTCATTAACGTTGAATAAGCTAATTTACATCGAACATCAAGATATCTAATTTAATCTTCTTAATGGGATATTTTCATGATCTTTTAGAAACCATTGACAGCAAAGATGGCACATGATTTCAGTACACTAATGAGGTTGATCAAGCATGCTGTCGCTGAATATTTTCAGTTTATTATTATCAATTTTTTCAGCAAATTTTGTTTTTCCCAGTACATTTCACTTTGCTTTCTGTCTTGCTCAATGTTTCTGTCAAATATTATCTCAAAGCTCTACTTGTGCCTTAATTCCAATGTACATGCCAGCTGCCCCTTTGTAACAAGTAAAAATATAGCAGTAATTATACATAATTTTCAAGGAAAAAAAATTTTCATTTTAATTCTCAACTGCAAGTTAATAATAAAGTAAGAAATTAAATATTGAATTTAATTTTTTACATTTTTTAGCTTTAATTAATAAATTAATTCAATTATGGCAATTAATGGCCTTGTGATGATGCATATTATTACAGGAGTACATTGCAAAGCAGTTTGGGTTTATGCAAAAACAGATAGGATATGATGTACTCGCTGAAGACACGATAACAGCGTTGCTTCACAACAATCGCAAACTGTTGGAGCAACACATTAAGGAGGATGAGATTGAGACGTTTGTTAGCTTAGTACGCAAAAAGAAGGAGTGCAGGTAACCAAAGCTTTGTCCAGACTATCAAATTTTCTTTGCCCATATATAGTAATGATGTACCTATATATGGTCATGATGTGATGTCATCAAGACCATATTTAGACATGTAACATGTTTTTGTTAAACAAAATGTGATAGTACTGAATGGAGGATGATATTAAGCTTAGATATTGAGAAACTTCCATCATTGATAAAATAGTAAAAAAATATTGTAAAATCGAGCTAATCCAGATGTTTGGATATTTCATAGTTATTTTTATTTACCGACAACATAGATTTCCGGCATTTGATTGGTTAAAAGCCAGGCAGTAGTTTCTGCCATGCCCGGCCAGCAGGAAATAGTCTTTTTCTGTTATGCTAATCCTATTTTTGGGGGTGCGCTTCTACTAATTTAATAAAATTTGACCTAATTTGATGACCTGGAAGCGGCTGACGGTCGCTGTGCGGCACACTGTACTGCTAGGCTAGGAATAACAATGGGAGAGTGTTACAGATTTAAACTGGTTGATGAACATGAGAAGCGTAGTATGTGAGTTCAGCAGCCAGTGATAATACGGAAAAACAAGTTAAGTATGCCTGCCAAATATTTGAAGAGTATCTTGAAGCCACAAACTGTGATTTACGGAGTTATCAAATGCAGGCCTCGTTGAATTTCTAGCAAAGTTCTACTACTAGGCTCGATTTCATCTCGGGACATAGTACAGACTCCAGATCACCCCGGGCTATATTTTGAACCATTGCCCCTCAACCAAGTAAATATTTGTATAAAATATAGTTTATATATAATCTTACAGTATTTGATTTTAAATTGGCTTGAAAAGTAAAAGGAATCTAGAATTTGGGTTGGTAGTACAGGCACTTACAAAATCACTTATGACTTGTACATGATTTGTGAAATAATATACCAAAATTTAAATAGTATGCATTTAGGGCTTTGCAAATATTTTTTCAACAGTAATAATTCTCCCATCAGCTTAAAATTTTATATTTTTTATAGTTCTATTTAGTGTGTTTTTAAAAGTTTTCTACATTCCACATTATATCATTTAATGCTGCATTAAATTCTGTCTTGTAGTATTAAGTACTGTATAAGCATTTTTCAATACCCACACAAGTTTATTTTTATATTTAGCACATTCTGGTCGAGATTCTCTGGTTTGCAATATTTAACAATGTAAGAAATCAAATAGTTTAAAAAAATTTGGTCACTAATTGGCTGTTGCCCGGGAATTTTCTTGTTAATGCATTTACTAATCCTTGACCACTACAGTGTATTTTATAGTATAGGACTTGAAGTTAATTGATTGATTGATTGATTGATTGGTGATTAATATTGAAATCATGCATTATGGACTACCTCTAAAATCTTACGAAAGTTATATTTCATTTTATACAATTTATTAACAAAGATTTCCAGTTTTTGAAATATGGTGTAATACGTGCATCTAATATCAATTTCATAAAGTTATGGATGTGAAATGAGCAAGTTAAATAATCAAGCTTAGGATTTCAAAAAATGAATTTCACAAAAACTAATTCTTACAGAAACCGAAAGGTCCACTGATTAATCTCAGATAAGAAAGTATAAAGGAATCCTGATGATGACATAATTAATGTCGAAATATTGAATCCCAACACGATGGCGTGTATTTCAATACTTGGAGTATGTATTATACTTTCTAATTTTTACAGCTAGTGGTAATCACACCTTTATACAACATGGTGATATTTATACTTTGGGAGATGTTTCTTGCTAATCGTAAATGATAGGAATGTTTTTTTCTGGTTTTTTTTTTTTATACTAAATGGGTAGGAGTGTATAAACTTAGATATTGAGAAATGTTTATCAGTAAAAAAAAAGTTATTAAATTTTTGTGGAAAAATTTGCATCAGGATTCGAACCCATGACCTCCTACTACCATTCAGATGCTCTACAAATAAACCTTTCCAGTGTGTCAATCAAACTTAACAACTAACCATTCAGGACATGGCCATGAATATGCGCATGTTTTAAGAAGCACACGTGTCATCCCACAAACGCATGTGCTTCAATATGTTTTAAGGCTGCCACAGTAGTGGGACTACTGTGGTGCGAATAATTTTTGTGGAAAGATTTATTGATCTATGAGGCCAAATTTGCATACTCCTTTTGATTTTCCTACCTATTAAAACACTGTTTTAATTGTATTGTACAGTATAGAATGTGTTTGTGGTTAAATTTCAATGGAAATAATACGATTTTCTAAAATATTTTTCATCAATATAAAATGTAAAACTAATTTCAAACCAATTGTGTAAATTTATAATTAAACAGTTTGTATTTTAATAGAGCATATACCTGGAATATGAAATCGTGACATATTTTACATGTATCTTCCTGTTAAGGTTCTTAGAGTATCTATCAGATCTGTGCGTCTCCAACAACCAAGCAATACCTGTGACACAGGAACTAATATGCAAATCAGTATTAAACCCAAAGAATGCTGACATTCTTGTTCAAACAAAGTAAGTGAGCTTTTCAATAACATTTTTTAAATGTATTGTTCATATACTGTATATAAATCAGCTTGAAACAAATTGTGTACATTTCATGTTATAGATTGCATTTAATAAAAGAGGCCTTCAATCTTGAATTTGATATGTTATATCTAAAGACAAGGAGGATAGCAATGTCTTTTAGAAGGATTAAATGAACAGGGAGAGGAATTTTGAAGAATAAAAAATGGAATGCTCTTAGTGATTTATTTGAGCTCTTGGTCCCTCAGATTAATTCCAGTCCACACACAAGAGGAGATTGAACTTGAAAGTGTAGATGACAATGGAGAACCAATCATAGCTATTCAGGAGGAAGAGGAGGAAGAGGTGTTCTTGATTTGGGAAGATAGTTGTCTGAAGGGTATTGCAGAATTGGCTCAAGGTGCTAAGGACAAAATCAAGGAGGATGTGGAGTTACTGAGATACTACAGGTTTGGAACTACTTTTTTTTCTGGGGATGAGTACTTCAAAATGTAGCTGAGCAAGCATAAAATAATGCAACATGGTGTGGTTCCGGCCTGGGCCCCTTGAGCAACAGATGTGTATGAGCAGCATAGCTCAGTCTGTTAAATTGCTGTTGCCACTGTGTGTATGCAGGAGATGCTTAGAAAAATTTGGCCTCATTTCAGTTCCATTGCTGCTGTTATTGTATTTCAGCTAGAGGGCTAAATTACAAGAATAATAATAAAGTTCATAGACTTTCAGAAGAAACTTTTAGCATGCTGGTCCTAATTGCAATGTGTCCCATCTACAGTTAACTTTTTAGAAATGAGTAGGAGATATCTCCAAGTGTATTGGCCAATTTAAAGGTCACCACTGAAAATAAGTCTTTAGAATTTTTTGGTTACCCTTGGTGTGAATCACACCAAAGAAAACCTAAGTCTGTCTAATAAATATACTGTACTTAGTGAGATTCATCAGGTAATCAGTGCGGAGCCAGGATTTCCCTGACGGGGGTCCAAGGTCCCTGGAGGGGGCGGACAATTTAGGGGTTTCAAAAGCTTATTTAATCGATTTTAGAGTCAATTGATATGTAAAAGAATACATATAATTTTTTATTTCTCCCCGACGCAATAATGGTTTTCTCCCCGATGGGGGGAGGGGAGGTAAGGCCTCCTCATAGCGCCGCTACTGCCGGGGATTGACCCATTTTTATTGCCATTCCTTGTTGTAGGTACCAATTGGACTTGTTTTCCCAAATGTGCCTGGACCGCCAGTATCTCGCCATCAACCAGATCTCGAAAGATTTAGACATTGATCTGATATTGCGCTGTATGTCAGATGAGAACCTACCCTTTGATCTGCGTGCGTCGTTCACACGACTTATGCTGCATATGCACGTGGATCGAGATCCACAGGAAACTGTAACAACGGTGAAATATGCACGTCTGTGGTCAGAAATCCCAACTCAGATAACAATTGAAGAGTAAGTAGTTTTGATATTTATTAGTTATTTATATTCAGTGTAGTTTACTTGATTTCAAATAAATTTGAAGTGAATGGAACCTAGAATATGGTTTGGCGGTACTCCAAAAAATCAACTGTTATTTTTCATCTTCTGTATTATTTTTGAGCTATACCAGCATTTACAAAGTATGCATTAACTGCTTTGCAAATATTTTTTTTTAATCAGTAATTATTTCCCCATAATCAGTTTGTAATTTTGTAATTTTTGAAGATTTTCTAGTTTTGTTTAGTATATTTCTAATAGTTTTCTACATTCCACATATATAATATTGCATTAAATTCTACCATGTAGTTATAAATATTTGCATTTCGCAGTACACTCACAAGTTTATACTTATACTTAGATTATTCTCGTCGAATTTCGATGGCTTGCAATTTTTTCCACCGTAAGAAATCAAATCGCATTAAATTTTGGTCACTAATTGGCTAATTTGTCCGGGGATTTTCTTGTAATACGATTACTAATTATTGGCCACTACAATAAATTTTTAAATATATATATGGACTTGTTTTTTGAAATAAATTTGATTGATTGATTAATATTGAAAGCATTCACCATATGGGCTACCTTAACAAAATTACAAAAGTTATATTTCATTTTTACCAATTTATTAACCAGGATTCCCAGTTTTTTTAGGCTGGTATAATACATTCATACTTTCTAATGTTATTAATTGTACCACAAGGTGGTATATATACTTTTATGTGTTGCCTAGAGACACTGGAAAGTATCATTCGAATTGAAATTGAAAGTTTCATTCGTCGCATATTAAAAACATAGTGAAGTGTATGAGCAGCCGGTGTGTAATAGTGATTGCAGCATAGCAACAGGCAATAATCGTATAGCAACAGTCAATAATGACACAGGGCAAACAATATTCAAAATTATTGCCTGCTTGGTTATGAAATGATTATGTAATGACTGTTAATTTAAATCAATCATTGCTTTTGGTTTGAGTTTAGGGAGCTCAACATAGCAATTTTCAAAATAGTGTTTATGAGACTGATTTGTGTTGAACATAATTATTTTTGTGTTAACAATGGTTCTTTCATTTAATACATTGTGTTATTCCTTCATAATTGTATGACTTTTAATTTCATTTCATTTTGTTCACTATATTATATTGATATACGTATATCTATGTTTTTTTTGTTTGGTTCTTTTATTATATTTTTATTATTTTCCTTATTTTGATCATCATGCCTAGTTCTTGTCTGTCTTTCACATACCTGACAATATTTCTCACGTCATGTGCAGAAGGTATCGGAATCAGTTAATTATAGTATTTACATCTTCATAGTTCAAATTTGTGCCAGCATTTACATACACTCGTACCAAATTGTACGTACCAATTCTCCCACCAATTATACGCACCCACTGGTAATCCATCAATTTCTACCTACTAAATTTGTAATAGCGACTCGTATACTCTTATAGGACAATTCTATTTATTTTGGATGGTTTTCATTGGAAAATTGTCGGTTTCAGACAAACTAATACTGTACTACCAAATAACATGCAAATGTGTGACACATTGGCAGGTATAAACTTTTGTCATATCTGTTTGTCAATGTATCATGCGCAGCTTGTTCAAGCCTAGCTTTTCCACATTCCAGCTATTCCAGGCACCTTGACTCCACCAAAACTCAAGTGTAAGATACTGCATGCGTTGTTGCATTATTGTAGCATCGGCCTAGAAGAGAAATAATTCTGATGAGTTCAGCATTTTGGACAGAAAATATGCATGAAAATTAGTTAGCTGTGGCATCGTGTATCAATTTTTTCTGTGATATAAACATCCTGAGCTCTCTATTCTGAGTGGAGCATGTTGCATCATTTATGTTGCAGCATTCACATCAGCAGATAGTTGCTCACCTATAACATGGTACAAAACATGACCCAGATATGATCTTTTGAAATCGTAACTTTAGAAATAAGAGCTTTTCTTAGATGCAAATCACAGATAGTATTGGTACATATTTTATGTCACAGTAACCAGTGACTAACATAGTAGAATTTTTTTTCTATCATTAATTGTTCATTTGATTAATGGTTTATTTTTGTATGTTTTTATTTAATTTTTGGGGGGTTTTTGCAAATTACTATAGAAAATAGGATAAAAAATGTTTTATTAGTCCAACAACCTATTACTAAATTATGATTATTATGATAGTTACTATTAAATAAAACATTGTAATTTCTCTTAATTTAAAAATTTTTTAAAAGTAATTTTGTTATGTAAGATAATTTTTAGAAATTTGGTGCTATGCACAAGTTACAGTTTAGTTGATTCTTTTTTTTGCTCTAACCCATCATTGCTTTGGTTCTCTTCTCTGCTCTGACAAGTGCATCATTTTCTCTCTAGAAATGACTTAAACTCAGTTCACACTATTAGTTTTTCTGTGACAAATATCTATGCTTTGCCCATATATGGATGTGGTAAGATGCCACCATGCCTATATTTGAGTGTGATATGATATCATGTTCATAAATGGACAAATCACAAATATTTGTCAGAAAAAGCATTTCTTTGTAGACAAAATAATACTGTAGTTTGTTTGGCTAGTTCGGAGGATATTTAATGATTTTATAACTTACCTTGCATATGCTCAGCTGTAGTAATTTTTTCCTAATAATTTATAAAATTGTATGAGTGCTATGACAATCTTGTTTTATTATTTTCATTATTCTTGTGATTACTATGTATTATTATTATTATTATTATTATTAACATCATTTTTGTTATGTTAGTATTGTTAGCATATAAAATTAATATTAATATTTTAAGCACTTTCATATAATTTCTAATAGAGGTTAAAGCTATTTTAACAATTGTTTTTGATATTGATATTACATTTCTTTTACACATTACACATTTGGATTGAATATTATATTTATTCAGTTACGATACCCATAATGGTGATCACCAACAAGTGCCAAAAGAAGATGTGACGCCCAAGTTCGCAGCAACCATTGAATTTGTTGAAGAATATCTGCGCCATGTTGTCATGGAAAGTTACTCATTTGCTGACATTGAGCAGAATAAGCTTACGTTTGAGGTTGGTATAAATGCATAAAATTTAGTTAACGATAAAAATGTAAACGCGAGAGCAGTTAGTGCAGAAGTTGTGAATGTGTCGTTGTTTCTACTCCTTGCAGATCTAACCATAATAAGAATAATAATTGCTTTATTTCAACAAGGTAAAACTTGATTCACCCAATGGTGTTTCATCAAGGCCGTGCAAGGCTGTCTAAATAAAAGAAGTATAAAAATTAGAAAAATTGATGCAAACACAATGTAGTGTCAAAATATCAAAAATAGAAGGTTAAGAAGCATTATACATAAAAGCTAAAAAATCATCATACAGTATATACAAGGTGAGTAAACTGATTAAAATTGTACAAACCAGAGTCACAGCATAACTTTTTTCAAAATTATCTTTGCTGCTCTGTTTTGGAGAACTTGTAATTTTTTGTTTAGTGTTTTGTTTGCTCTCCACCATATAACATTACAGTAGTTAAAATGTGGGGCTATTAAAGATTTGTACATCATTGTTTGGAGATGTTTAAGGAGTAAATCATGAGATCTCTTCAAGTAATATAAGCCTGGAAATACCTTACCTTTGACATTATCAGTTTGCTTATCCCATGACAAGTTTTCATCAATTAAAACATCTTCCTATAGATTTTATTAGATGAAGTGATAATTACTTGGTTAAAATCTTTAATGTATTGAATATTATATTTAAAGCTTAAATTGTACCTCTTTTGGAACATCATAAATATATTTTGGCCTCTTGGTGAAAAATATTTTGAAAAGCTGGCCCTTAATTTTCCAGGATTATTTCTTGTTCTTTTTACAGGTGGTAAACCTGGCCAAGCATCTGATATACTTTGGCTTCTACAGTTTCAGTGGGTTGCTACGACTAACGAAAACGCTTCTGAAGATTCTTGACTGCAACACCGATCCCAGAATACCTCTCAAAATGGCTGGCAAGGCAGACTTAGGTATATTATTTATTTTAAAACTTAAACCTTCACTGCTATAGTTAAGATACAAATTTCTTTTACTCGGAGAAAATAAAAGCTCATAAAAACAAAAATAATTTGCTTGAATTGAAGCCTGTATTTGGAGTCTATTTTCTGGATACTTAACTTTTGCCAATGACCATCATCATTGGTGCTTACATTTGCCGCATTGAAAATGTTTGAAGCAAAAATATCATGCTCAAGTAGTTGCAAATCACCTCATTTCAACTTATTTTGTGAGCTAGCATTCCCCTCGGGGTGAGGAGGGGAATTTTGAGAATCCTAGATATATCACTGATCATCGTCATCCCTCAGAAATGTATGAAACAGTAGTTTCTTGCATCCTGCATAATATTCTGGATAATTGCTTATGTGCAGGAGTCAAGGTCAGTGCACGGGGCCCAGGTCAGTGCAATGCAAGCGGGATGTGGTTGGGTGGTGGTTGAGGTAATGTCACTCCATTAGACAAGCATGAACACTGTCGCAGATGCCACCAGAGGTCGTCTGACTAGACATATTAGTTTAGAAAAATTCTTTTGATAGTAATTTCTAAAATTGTGGTCGAAAAGCATAAGTTTACCATCCTAAATCAGATGGGGTTTACTCCCCTAGATGGCCTTTGGTATAAACCCCCTATCAGACTTTTTGAATCCCCCGTCAGCAAAATATTGGCGTCACTGTTGGGCCAGGAGTTTCCACTGATTATTTAGCAGTGTCTTCTCCTTAATTTCTGTCCACACTATCAAATTTTGTGACAAATAAATGTGACATTTCCATATATGGGTGTGATGTGACAATCATCATGCCCTTATATGGGTACATCATGCCCTTATATGGGTATATCATGCCCTTATATGGGCACATCATGCCCTTATATGGGTACATCATGCCCTTATATGGGCACATCATGCCCTTATATGGGCGCATCACACAAATTTGTCACTTAAAATTTGAGAGTGTGGACAGAGCTTTATAGAGAATCAAAAGTTGTTGGTGTGTCATAGAAAGTATCTCGCTTATAGGCTACCAACTTCACGGCTCATTTGTGAAATTTGCAACTGCTGCTTTAAGCTTTTACCATTTGGAGAGTGAATGAGAAAGAAACAAAAGCTTATGTGGTTGACTTCGATTGGTCCATTTGCCTGAGATTCAATAATGATCAGAGAAAGGATATGAATGCTGTTATCTACTACATAACAATAAGTCAACCAATCAAAATGGTGTTACTCAGTATGTTTCCATTTTTAACCTGCATTGATGAAAGATTGCATGACAGATCCACATTCATGAGTAATTTAATTTCAAAAGTGTATAAATGATTTTAATTTCAATCATATTTATGTTACTATTTTCATGTTATTTTGCACTTTTCACTTCACTTTTTTTAAGAATCATTATTTCCAAAAGCAAACATTATTTCCTTTTATTGACTTAGAGCCAGAAGCTCCAGCTGAAAACACAGGTGATCTAGTCATTTGCATAATTGTCTAATTTGCATAATTTGTCCTCGTTTTTATAATTCTATTTACATGCATGTGTGTCCCTGGGAAGTTATGGTAAATGGGTAATCTTAATATTGTAGACGTTTTTATAAGAGCACATTTGGTGCATTATATCATAAACGCTGTTGCCATTGTATGTTCTCAACTTTGTAGTGCAAAGGTTATAAACCATATACTTGGATGTGTACTGTGATCCTATTTCTTAGTGTCAGTGTGTTTTGTGTTGCTTACCCATTTATGCTGTGTGTTGCCATTTACAGGGGCTTTCTTTGCTTTGCGTGTGCTCCATGGAACTGTGTTTGTGATAACTAACATTTTCCCTAACTCTCCCTCCATTATATAAAGTAGAATAAGTTTCTCACATTTCGTTATTTTGTTGGAAATAATATTGTAAAGTAACTGTAGCTGTGTATTTCTATAGCAATATAATTCCAATTTTATATTAATAATTAAAATTTAGGAATTCTTCTGATTTTCTAATATATCATTGTCTGTTGTCATCATTGCCATTGTCGATGTTATCATCATTATTATCATCATCATTAAAAAATAGCATTTTGAATGTTAAGCAGAATCAAGACAACACCTAAATTTCCCCATAACAGAATCAGTAATATCACAAAGTATATGCAAATAAAAAGTAAAAATAAAATTGAGGTTTACTCAGATTTATAACATCCAATATATTTTTTTAAATTTTATTTGTCAATCATATTTGTCAGTTTTGATTTTTCATGTATGTCTTTGCTCATTGAAATTGTTGAGTGATTTCATATTACATTTTTATCTTTCAATTCCTATTCAATTTTTATTTTATTGTACTGTATTAATAATTTCATTACTATATATAACTTGGGGAAAAAACACTTTGGTACCAAAACAAAACAAATGTGAGAATTTTAAAAATACAATATATCTGAGGTTCTCTCAGTTATTTATTGTATTAAAATTGGTCATTTTATGGGGAACACGGCGAGTGTGTCACAGGTCGTTTTTCAATGACGATCCGTTCAGACTTCCACTGACAATTAGCAGACGGCATCGTGTCGTCTGGCACTCACTGGGAACAGGAGTTGGATTCGTTGTACGACAATCGGCCGACAGTTGTGCGACCATCGTACAATGCAGTGAAGACCCGGCTTAATTGACTCATATCTATGAATCAGGTTCTGAAAATACAAAGGTGCCTGTTTATTATAAATGTATTTATTAACCTGTACCATATACCTGATACCCTACTGGAAGCCATTGTATTAGGCTGAGTAAAAGGGTGGCTTGGTAAGATTTTCCAATAAATTAGATTTATTTCTTGGTGTTGCCAGTGACTAACCCTATATGCCAGTGTTTTCCATCCTGTAGCCATTAATTGTGTATGGTTAGTGACTTTAATTATTATATGTTTATCGTGTGGTGATCTTTCTTCTGTGATATCCAGTATGGGAATATTTTGTTATTAATGGGAAGGATGCGTTGTAAGGGAGGAGCTGATACGGATTAAAACAGATGACACAATTAATATCATCACCACCATTTTCTTCATCTATCTTTATAATTAGCATCATTATTGTCATATTGTCATCATCATCGTCATCATCAACATTATCATCATCGACATCTGTCTTTTATATATAATCTATTATAAAGACTTCTTCATCTGTCTTTATAATAATCATCATCACTTCATCTATCTTTATAAGCATTATCATGACCATTATTGCCATCCATCTTTGTAAATCATTATCAACATCATTATCATCATCATTACTCATCTTAACCATCTTTTTTTTTAAATCAGCATCATATATTCATCATCATCATCATCTTCACCATCATTATCATCATCATCATCATAATCACCATCATCATCATAAACATCATCACCATTGCCAGCATCATCACCACTATCACGTCATCATCATTACTACTGATATTACCTCCAACTTGGAACCAAAATTACCAAATAATTTGTACTTTAGGAGGCAAAGGCAGTGTTCTGAGTTCTATCCAAGGAGTCGGTAACGTTATGACACACATGGTAATGGGAACAGGGTTACCAATCCCAGTGGAACCGACGTCGAGTGGCTCACCCCCTCCAAAATCACCTGATAAACTGGGTCGTAAGGAAGACGAGAAGGTCATGGAAACTAAATTGAAGATTATTCAAATTTTGAAGGTAGGAATTTTTTTAAAATTTCATACAAAATATGATAATGTAAAGGTACTAAACATTATTACATATTTTTTTTGATAAAAACAATTTAATTATATTATACTGCTATTATATATTATATTGATTATAATCATAATTAATAGCATGTAAATAATAATCTAAAAATACATATTTTTTTGAATAAATCTTTTTAAGATGTTTTTGTTGCTTTTTAAAAGACCTAATATTATGTTAATAATTATAATAATAATGATTACTCTAATTTGTTATTTTTTAAAGAGATGTTTATTTGTTTAATTCTTTGTTTATCTAGTTCATATTATATTGATTATAATCATAATTAATAACTTGTAAATAATAATTTAAATACATATTTTGTAATTAACTGTGAACTAATCTGTTTCTATGTTTTGTTGCTCAAATAATATATTAATAATTATAGTAATTATTACTCTAAATTGTTATTTTAATAGAAAGTGATGTCTTTTTTGTTTGTTTTTTCTAGTTCATTCTCGATGTGAGACTTGATTTCCGAATTTCTTGCCTGCTGTCTATCTTCAAGCGAGAATTTGATGAGAACAAAGAACAGGGCAGTGATGGACTGCTAATTGATGGTGGCGATGGGCCAGGTAGGAAAGAACATAAATTAAGCACTTAAATAAAAATATGAAGTGTCCCAAGGATTTTGCCTTCCCCATCAAAATTAAGCAACAACTAATAATGGACTCTAAAATGATAATTATGACTGACCCAAATGTCTTTCTAGGTTGTGTTTTATTTTGATTTAAATTGGAATTTGTGTTTTTCAGGAATCAACTTGGATGCAATAGGAGATAAAGCTGAAACAATTTTTGAGGGAAAGTAAGTATGGTTGATGGTGTTAGGATCAGAAAATATTACATTTAGATATATATTACATTGCCAGAAAATGGCAACCTTTTTTTTCTTTAATTATTTAATTAGACTCCATACTAATTCAAGTTTTATTGCCAACATTTTGAAAAAAAAAAATTAAAATTAATAGGCTTCATCTAAGTATATGTTTTTTTTTTTCTCCTGTTTACTTTATTTTATTTTGTTTATACTCTGCTTTTTTATTATTATTTGTATACTGTAGGAGTGATGTTTTGCCCTATCTGACGTGCTATCGTACTGAATACTCAGTATGTTTCCAAACACTTGCGAAAAACATTTGCAAGTGATTCCGGAGGGAATTGAACCCACGACCCCTGACATGTTATCATACAAAATACTCAGTATGTTCCCAAACACTTGCGAAAAAAATGTGCAGGTGATTCGGGTGGGAATCGAACCCACGACCTCCAAAAAACTGGCCTGGTTTCATAACCATTAGACCACTGATCTTGCGATTAGTGACTAGTGGTGAATCTTATCACCAAGTAGCAGTGGGTACGGCAATGCTATTTCGATGTTTGTTTAAACATTTATATATTGTTACAACTGGAACATCAAAGATTGTATCAATTTGTATGGCTTTAAATCTGTAACTTATTACCTCATAAATTTACCCCCTGCTGGATCAGTAGTGAGCACACCAACGCTGACTTCTCTCTAGACCGTTATTCTTTACAAGAACAGCTGACTATGCGTTTGACTTCGTTGAATTTCTCGCCCACGGATGTGGACATTTTAGAGCGTGTGCTTATGCACTACTGTGAGATGGATGTTGTACCTCAGTGAGTAAACCAACCAATCAGAATTGTTCGTCAAATGCCTGGAATGTTTTTTAAGAAATTGGGTTGCGGTTCTGTTATTTTTTCCAAGCATCTTGATTTTAGGTTTTAGATTTTTTTTTCTTTTAATATCATTTTTTACTTGAAGAATTTTCTTTACATTTTTGGTTTATACTTGTACTCCATTCATTTTATCCTTTTTATGTGTACGTTACTTTCATTCTTGCATCATTTGAAAATGCATACAGAAAATAGTATATTGTAGTTCCCCTTCCCCTCATTCTTGAAAAATTAATTTCTATATAATTGTTATGGAACAGTTTTAATCAAATATAATAGAAGGTGTGCATGATATTTTGGAGATGTTGAAATGTTTGGAATTTTGGTAGTATGAGATAAGATTTTTGGTACTAATTTATGTTACTGCATCAACAATGCTTTACATTTTATTATTTATTAGTGTTTGGTATATTTTTATATTAATTAATCTTCAAGCATAAAAAATAATTACTATTGCATACATTCACCGAAATGTGTTCTTTAGCAAATGGCATTGAAAGCAGTGTTTTAAAAATATTATAGTGGAATATGGGCCGTGAGCATACTCTTTCTAGTAATCATATTATTATTATTATATTACTAGTTAAGCGGGGCAAACAAGACAATAGCAGTACTCATCTTTTGGTTCTTGACTATCACACATACGACATAGTTGCAATGACTCATTTTTAGCTATGTTCAGATACCCTTCCATCTGAAGTAAAGTTCCAACAGACGTAAAATTGTATGCATGTATTACTTCCGACAGATGTCCACACAATTGTTACCCAGAGCATAATGTTCTTTTAACTTCAAAGTTAGTTCAAAGCTTAAAAGTAACTATGCAAATTTTGCGGAAGTGATAATCACCACTTTGTTGTCTCTCAATGGTTATTTTGCACACATTATGAGAACATTGTGTTTACGAAGATTTACACATCACAAAGAATGCTATCTTTTGAAAAAACCGAGATCATAATAAAGGTTGTATTAACTTGCGAGCTCTGAAGTAAGTGCGTCTACACGGCGCTACTCTGGGCGCGTATTCTTTACATTATCTTGTGTAAGCGGGAATAGCACACTTACTCCTGAGACTGCTCGGGAGTAAATCGTCTGTAGTAACGTTGGAGTAATTAATACAAAGAGCATCTTCACAGGCACTACCCAGGGTTTACCACAAGTAAACTGCTACTTCAAAGCTTACAACTTGTCTGAATGTGCCGTTTGCCTCTTATATTAATATTAAACATATGCGATGAAGTTCTTAACATTGTAATACATCTTCTATGCCTAAATATGTTATGGTAATATTCTAATACATGTAATATATGGAGATATATAGTTATATTTTTTAATGATTTTTCAAGTATAAGATAATATTATTGTAATACTTATAGTGTTGCGATAAGTCAAAAATGCCTTTCAAAACTTATATATGACATACATTAAATTCTACAGTTAGCAGTGCACAATTATAGAATTTCTAGTAGGACGCTTAGGTTGGACTTCTTTTATGCCTTGTTTCATAAACTTATTTTTTTTTAAGGATTATTAGGAATTATTGTCAATAAAAAAAAAAAAATTGTTTTCTTATTTAGCAAGTAGTTTTGAAAAAAACATCCTGGTAGCAGAGAAAATAAAAATAAAATTTATTGGTGAATGTAAACAGTGTAGTAATGGGATGGTTAAATGCTTTAAATTTATATAATTAGGAAGAAATATACATAAAATTTTAAAACAAACCCTTATTTTTTTCCGAAATTTCATTTTTTTCATGGCAACTGGTGTGAAAATTGGAAAAAAATAAAATTTTATTTCAATTCGAAATCATTGTATTTGCGGGTGGCGGGTTCACTACCTACAAGTCTCACCTATTCCAGATTTGCATTTTTTTGAGAACATTGCTTATTCTATCCATTCAAATTTATTTTTATATAGTAATAACACAACATTTAATTTAGTGTAACAAATTATAAAATAATAATAACAAAAGTAATGTAAAGAATAATATACAATAATAATATATAAAATAATCAATTAATATAAAATCTATTTCAGAAAAATCTGCATGTCTTCATAGGGACTTTATACCTTCTGTTTTTGCATCATTATAATACGATAGTTTATATAGTACAACTATAAAATTAGGAAGAATATGTTTTTATTCAAATATATTCATCAGTGATACTAATTTGTTTTTAACTAAATTTAACCATGTGTACATTTGTAGTTAACTTGACTAACATAAGGTTATGTTTGCATCATAGAAAAAAATTTTTTATCTGTAATTTTGTAGTATGTACTGTAGTGATGACGTAAATATGTTTTTACTTTTTAGTGTGGAAGGTCCGGATCTCGATCTTGATGGGGCAGGTGGGAGGATGTTCCTGCGTGTGCTCCTTCATTTAACCATGCACGATTATCCTCCATTGGTGTCTGGCGCCCTCAGGCTTCTCTTCCGGCATTTTAGCCAGCGTCAGGAGGTTTTGAGTGCATTTAAGCAGGTAAGGTTATCAGATGAGCACCTAGCCAGCTGCTGTTTGATTACTGGGATCTTTGATAGGATTAGTACTGCTATTTTCTTTTTTCCCAGGTCCAATTACTTGTGTCAAACAATGATGTAGAGAACTATAAACAAATAAAAGCAGACTTGGATGAATTGAGACTTCTAGTTGAGAAGTCCGAACTTTGGGTGTACAAGAGCAAGTCAAGCGATTCAGACAAGAAGAAGAAAGATAAGAAAGATAAAAAGGATAATGGTGGAAAGAAGGAGAAGAAGAAGAAATTAATGGTTTGTACTGATGATACTTATCATAGAAGTGTTTGTGTATCACCTTGTAGATCACAGATGCATTTAAGTGCTTTAAGTTCAAAGGAAGAATCCTTCCTTTTTGACCAGTTTTTAAATTTACCATCAATTTTAATGTATCTGTCTTCTTTTGGGCCAACTTCATATTAAAGGCTTTGGCCCAGTAGCTTGTATTTTTCAAGAAAGTGCTTTACCAGTTTGTGCAGTATTTAATTATTTTTTTTATTTTTCAAAATCAAATATTTTTTATTGAAAGATGGTTGACTGTTTTAAAAATCTTTGTTTTCCTTTACTAGCCACTACCGTCATCGGTAGCCGACGGTGATGTCGCAAACCTTGACCTAGGACCTGCTCTTGACCCTGCCATGATTCAAAATTACAAGACCATTCAAAGTGTAAGTCATTCTAGTATAGCATATGTCTTATTTGCATCAGCCGTAAGCTTTTTGGTATCTTTTTAATATTTTGATGTATTTGTCAGATTGTTAATCATGTAATTTTTATATTCTCTGCAGTATTGTAATTTTGATGTTCATTTTTGTAATCCAAATCTGTACATCACATTTCTTTTTAATTCTGTTTAAACCCCTCTCTTTTAATTTTATCTTTTTACTCAGTTGATTTATAAATTCAATTTTTAAAGTCTTTTGGTGTCAATTTTCAAACTTATACGTAACATTTATTACTTTCTTGATCTTATTAAATCTCATTTTAAAAAAAATGTTTTTAATATATATATTTTTTATATTTGTAATTTCTTATATGTAAATTGTAACCATTTGTTGTAATTTGGTTTTTAATTGCGATGCATTTTGGAAATAAACCTTGATTTGAATTTGTCTCCATCTCCATATTATGTAATTTATAATCTGTACGATTAAAGTAATGAGGATTGATTAGTTACATATTCTTTCTTTTTCTTTTCGCAATGATCACTCTCCACTTTGCGCAGTAGAGTGGCCGAGTGTTAAGGCAGGCTCACCGCTAACACAGCCTTAACATCGGCGCTGATTCCAGCAGCTCCTCGCCCAGGGTTTGGTTGGTAGAACTAAGACTTTTTTAATAAGGACTAAAAAATGGAGTTCCAGTGTACACATCTGGCTTGTGTACACTTTATAGAACCCATTACATCTTTCGGATGGGTAGGGGGCTACCCTGATGCTATGGTTCATTTCAGCCCCTGTTGTTGTGGCATGATATGAACATGGAGCTACTATAAGTGCCTCTTTACGGCCGCTTCTGTAGGTAGTCACAAACCACGCCCATACGCAATTGCATCTTACCTTTACCTTCACTGTCTTTTGTGACATACTCTGCCCTCTCAAGGGAAGATTCTGGTCAAAGCCAGATATTTCTGGACTTGGCAATGGATCTTTAGGAATCTGATGCTGATCCATTCTTAGTGTTTGTTCAGATATTTTTTTATTTATTTATTATTTTTTTATTTATTTTATTTATTTTTTATTCAATATTATTGTCATAGTTTTATTACATTTTTCAGAGTGATTTTTTATTGTGTATTTTTTAATTTTTGTTTGTTCAGATATATTTTTTAAATTTATATATTTATTTTTTTAAATTTATTTTTTAAATTTATTTTTTATTCAATATTATTGCCATAGTTTTATTACATTTTTCAGAGTGATTTTTTATTTTGTATTTTTTAAATTCTTTTCAGATATATATTTTTATTTATTTATATATTTTTTATTCAATATTATTGTTATAGTTTTATTACATTTTTCAGAGTGATTATTTTATTGTGTATTTTTTAAATTTCTATCTTTTTTTAGATTCTGATTCGTCTGAAGAACCTCTGTATATCTAACAATGCTAGTAGTACCAAGAATCGCAAACATGAACAAAGACTGTTACGCAATATGGGAGCTCACTCTGCCGTACTAGAACTTCTTCAAATCCCCTATGAAAAGGTAATACCTTCCCCTACTGTAAAGTTTTTGAATTGCCTAATGATGATGCCTAAAACATTAGCACAAGTATGCTTGGGAAATCGCTAGGAAAATAGGTCTGTTGAAATGTAACTACTGCTTTAATAGATTAGTTTATATTAAGATTAGGTCAAAGCCTAATTCTCGGCAAAATTAAGCGGAAATCGGCCTTATTTTCCGAAAATGTATGGACAGATTTCTAGGCCTAATTTTTGCGCGGAGGATATATTTCCCCGCGGGCATTACTATACAGTCTGGATATCTTCAAATACTGAATCATGGTATCCAATTGTATGCTGCACAAAATATGATAATTCATGTAAGATGATGATAAAAAGGAAGGATGGGACAAGACCACACATCCCAAATCAGTTACTGGTGTTCTTAGCAAATTTGGTATCAAGTTAAATTATTAAATCTATTTTGTGAATATACACCAATTAATACTAATTAAGTTTCGTTTTAAACTTGCCTCTCGAACATAAAAGAAAAATAATGGAATTGCCCTAGCTCGCCTATATACGCCCTGTGTGAATGTAAATTTGTCTGTTTAGAAGGTATAAACAGGCCTATACCTGGCATTCAACATTCTCATATATTTAAATATATGCAAGTACGAGCAAACCTCCCTTCTCATTAAGATTTGAAACCAAGGCTCTCACCAAGTGCAAATGAATTAATTATTGGTAGATGAAAATAAATTTTCTCTTTACAGTTCAAATTCAAATTTCTTATGGGATGTACCAACAGGCATAATAATTATTTTTGAAAATAGGGATCAAGCTTTCATCGGCTATTTTGATTTCAGTTATTGATATGAAGTTGTTTTTTGTTCGTTTAGTTTACAGATGTTCGTATGTTGGTGCTTATGAAGCTAGCTCATGAATTCCTGCAGAACTTCTGCTATGGCAACCCCTCCAACCAGACATTGCTGCATAAACACATTGATAGATTCCTCATTCCCGGGGTAAGTATCTAGCAAATATTAATAAGCAGAATCTTGAAAAAATTGAAATTGGACATTTCAAGCCTTGGGAAGTGTAAATACATCACTATTTCAAGTCAAGATAGACATGATTTTGAGTAATTGCATTCTAAAGTTATCTGTGCATACAGTACATTGTTTAATGGAATTAACTACCAAAATAGCATTAAATAAACAATTTGTTGACACTTCGGGACATGATTAGACATTAAACTGTTGATCTATAGTGAAAAAAACAATTTTTGAATTTTTGGCCATTTTTTGACCACCTGTATTTATAGCTCATTCACTCAATACTAGCCTGTGCAACAACTTAACCATTTTGCCACAACATGGCTCATATTATCTTATTAATTCCTAGGCACTCGAAGCACAGACTATGAGGCATATCTACATGGACAATACCCAGCTATGCAATGAGGTCACAGAGAAGGTCGTGCAACATTTTGTTCACTGTATCGAGACCCAGGGAAGGCATGTCGAGTATCTGAAGTTCCTGCAGACGATAGTAAAAGCTGAGCAGTTCATTCGCAAAACTCAGGACATGGTCATGTCAGAGGTGAGTGAAACCAAAATTGGCGGTAGCCACTATGTGTGCACTGAAATTGCAGAGATCTTTTAGTCCCAGTTTCAATACCAATCCCAGCTTCCCTCCTTGTGTTTTAAGTTGGAGGGCTGAAATGCATGTTTCGATAGTGCACCGTCTTCTGGATGAGATTTTTAAGCTGTTGGTCATGTGTGCGATATGACCATGTGCATGTTAAAGAACACAGTACACCCTTCGGAAAAGAGTATTTGGATTGTATTTGGAGTATTCAGTGTGAATAAGTCTTTTGTGGGTTATCCTTGGTGTTCATATCAAATAAATTTAATCTGACTTTTAAAAAAATGTGTTTTCATCAATGTGATAATTAACTGTGACTCTATAAACTATAGCAGTGTTTACATTGGATTAATTTGAGCAAGTCATATGTTCACTTGTGGCACAAATAGCTTTTCAAGTGCACAACCATACGCAATTTAATTGAAAAAATATTAATTATTATGCACATATGAATGGGGGGACATGTCCAAATTAGAACTTTGTGCACACAGCATGATTTGTCTAATATGAATCCACACATGAAACTTGTATTTCAAAATTCCTCTCATATTATGATTTATGGCACAGGTGGGCAAAGTGTGGCCTGGCAGTGAATTTTTTGCGGCCTGTGAGAATAAATTAAAAACCCTATTTGTGCAGCCGGCCAGCTATTTTTAGCTGTAAAAGACTTTTTTTATGGCCCGACACTGATTATCTGTAAAATGTAATATTAAAACTGAGCATACAGTGGTGTACAAGCAGTGTATGAAGGTTTTTGGAAGCGCACAGCCGGGAACATCAAAGTTTAAGTGCGGCCTTTGGTGTTAAATCAAAAATTCACTTTGGCCCTTCAGCCCATTTTTATGCCCACCCCTGAAATAATTTATTTCTTCTTGCTAGCTTGTTAATGCTGGTGAAGATGTACTGCTGTTCTATTCTGATAAAGCCTCCTTCCAAATGCTAATCGAACTGATGCAACACGAGAAGGAGCGCATAGATGAAGAGAGCCCTCTACTGTACCACATCAACCTTGTACAACTGTTAGCCTTGTGTACAGAAGGCAAGAATGTTTACACAGAAATCAAGAGTCACCATCTGCTTCCTCTTGATGACATCGTACAGGTCGTAACCCATGACGACTGCCTACCAGAGGTTTGTAATTTATTTTTAATCATATCATTATGCCAATTAAGCTTAACAACTGACCAGTCAGAGCAGGTTCAGGAATACGCACGTGTCCTTCAAACACAGGCACACAACGCACATGTTTATGTACGTTTACGCTATTGTTTTGTGCGACTTTAGCAACAATAACCAAAGACTGGGGCTTACATTAAGGTTCATTGCAATTTAAGAGTATTAAAAATCATCCGTGACTTCACGAGTGCTTTTTTTGGATTATTTATCATGTTTGTAATATAAATCTAGTAACCACAAAATGGTTTCCTAGCAGCAAACAATATTCTATTTCTTAAAGATAGGACATCTGTTTTAACTTAATAAATTTAACAATAAGAATTTTTCCATAGACAGTATCATAGTTCATAGTTCCTTTTATTCGTCCTTCTTGAAATTCAGTTTGACATATAATTACTCGAAGGTGAGTTAATTTTACAAAGAACATCAATAAAATAAAAATAAAATAAAACTGTGATCTTAATCTACTGCCTAAAAATTGTAGTTAGATTCATTAAAAAGTCTAATAGAATACGGAACAAAAGAATTTGAAAAACGTTTTTTCCTGCAGCGTGTTGCTCAAAGACATCTACTAGATCTTAGCCAATCAAAAATTACTATAGAGTGGATAATTCTTATCTTTCATAGTTGCTAGTACAGTACTTTGTCATGGATTTTCTTTTTGCATGTGTCAATAATAACAGATTGCTTAATCAATCTATATAATAATCTAATATATATATATCTGTCTCTTATACACATCTAGATGTGTATAAGAGACAGATTCAAGGTTTTTTCCTCTTTAAAACGGTCAGGTAATTTGTTACCATTGTTATTCAGTAAATAGGCCTTAAGTGTATACATACATAAAAATTTTAAAAAAATGAGTAGCTGCATACGAATTTTCCATGAATCGATGAATCCAAAAAAGGAGGGGGTGGGGGTCCTCCCCCGGGAAAATTTCGATTCCTGGAAGGCTGGAAATGAGTTTTCCCGACATCTGGGGTATCTTTTAATTACTTTTAAGTTCTTAAAATTCAAGGTTTTTCCCTCTTGAAAACTCATGTTAAAGGTGTCACTTTAAGTTTTTTTCAATCTATTACATGATAATATTTCTCTTCCTTTTTTGTTTTGTTTTTCTGGATTCTTATACATTTTGCATTCATCAGGATCCAATGTACACAGTTAGTATGACCTGAACATGGATCATAAGTTCAGCAAATAACTTTCAAAGAAAAGTCTTGCATGTAGTCTTAGTTTGATGACAGAGGTCTTTCATATTTGTGCCCTTTTCCCAATCAAAGCCCATGTATAGTACGTAGTATATGCCCTGAACAGGGATTATATCATCATGAACCCTGGCATAGCCATTAAGTGCATAAGTTTTGGACATGTATTTATCTGAAAATAGTCTTTTTTTAAATATTTCACTATATTACTAACATATATAACTCTAAATTGTTTCCTTCGTACATGGTTGAGGTGTTACTAATATTCATTTCATGCAAAATAATTTTTGTCAAATCCTTATATCATATTTAAGCATTTCCCCCTTCAATTTTTAGTCCCACATTTGCCCATTTGCTTTTCTTTGCCTGCTGATAATTAATTTTTTTAAATGCCTGAGTTCCTCCCTGTGATTTGCCATATTATTTAAATTATTCTGACTGTTTAATTGCACTGAGTATTATCTTTGACTTCCTTGTTATTTGACATTTTCTAACTGTTAATATGCACTGAATTACAAGATTTATCACAAGAGCTCAGTTTGTAATGTGCCCTCTTTTGGCTATGCTTTTATCCATTAGACTCGGCAACCGATCTTTGTAAAGCTCCTACAGAGTGTGTTTAGAGTGTCACAATGTGATTGGCTGACAGGCCAGCAGAAATGCCAAGTTGAATTATGCATTAAGACCCTGACTGATATAGGTAGGTAAAATCATTGCAAGAAAAATATCTCCTGTCCATTAACCCCCCCCCCCCCCCCCCCCCCAACACACCCCACAGCTATAACAATACCCCATGGACAGCAATTACCAGACAGATAGCCCAGGTTACTTATCCCTGTTATTTATTGTTATTATTGCCTATTGGGCACTTTTTTTCAGCTGGGTAGTAGTTGTCTTTATCAACTCCTAGAGGTTATTATTAACTTTTTTAACATTCAGAGGCTGTTGTTCCCTTTTATATGTATATTATAGGTCTTATAAATTTCAAACATTCAATATTAACATATTTTTTGTCTACATAATTGTAGTTTTTAAATCTTTGTGTTTACTTTATTTTTAAAATTTTAGTATTTGATATATATTTTATTTTTCAGCAAAGAATCGTGGAATTGCAATACCAGTGGACCTGGATAGTCAAATAAATAGCATATTTAAATCTGCTAGTATTGTTAAAAAACATACACGCCTATGGATGAGCCAGGGACGGATGAAACGCGATTCAATGATTCCTGTATCGCGGGATTACCGCAACATCATTGAAGGATTACAGGTACTCACTCAATAACTTTCATTTCTTGAAGTTCAATTTTTCATATACAATACATAAAAATACTTTTTTCTCAGTAAAATTTCAATTAAATAAATTAAACAATATGGATAAATTGTACTATAATTGCCCAGGGTTATACATAACAAATAATATACAATAAAATTATATTAGTCACAATTATAATAAAATGCTAGTATTGTAAAGTACTACTTACATAGGCTTCTATATGCTCTACTTTGTTACTATTCGAAAGGTCCACTGATTAATCTCAGGTAAGATAGTATAATACATACTCCGAGTATCGAAATGCACGTCATCGTGTCAGGATTCAATATTTCGACATTATTTATGTCATCATCAGGAATGAAAATATATATGGATAAATCTTTCATTGTTACTATTCATTGGAACAAATGTCTATGTTAATATATAATAATTAGTATTAGAAATTTGTTAACGAAATAAATTCATGTGGATTTTTTCTCTCTAGGAATTCATTCTGTATTTGAGCACATTGTAATTTTTTTTCTTCCTGTTGTAGGACATAGTGTGTCTGTTAGAGGAACAACTACACCCCTTAGTACAAGCCGAGTCATCAGTGCTTGTGGATGTCCTTCATCGACCGGAGCTGCTCTTCCCAAATCATTCCGAAGCTCGGCAGAAATGCGAAAGTGGTGGATTCATATCCAAGTATGATTTAATAACTTGACTTTTCTGATTGTTTTTCATCTGTTTTTGGAAGAGTTGATGACTTGTACAACAGGAAGAAATCCCTTTATGTCTTTTTTTCCAATACAAGTACAAACTTTAAAGTGTTAAGATTAGAGTCTGCTTTGGCAGTGGACTAACTTTGATTTTTTGACCTCTGTGTGAACCACAAGCAATATTTGAGGGGAATCAACCCATGTGGACCCATAATCTTCATACAAGTTCACACACAGTGATAACATTAGACTCACTAGATTAGCTATGCTGTCTCATTGTACTTACCACCTCATTCTCCCCACCTCTTTTTTATTCAAGATTTTCAAGATTCAAGATTTATTTTCGTCATACATAGTACATATATACAAGATTTGTTTCTTTGAGTTGATAATAAACATTGGAAATCGAATACTATAACACTATAAAATACAAGACAACAATTAACAGATATAATATTAAATATGAATATAAGAATATAAAAATATATTACATATGGAATTAACAAGGTTGAACTGTATTGTGAGGTCAGGAGAGGAATATGGCATGGAATGTAATACAGTAGACGGGCTTGATGATGAGATTATCTACTGAAGTGTTCGTTAAAGACTCTTATTGCACATGGTAAAAATGAGTATTTATGACGGTTGGTACGTTTTAAAGTTGGAATTATTCTGCCAGATTTACTAATTGTTATGAACTTATTAAGTGGGTGAGTTTGGACATTCGCTATGTCCTTAATTTTTTTAAGTCAGGCACCTTCACATTAAAAACTTAACTTTTTTGGTCAGTCCCATGAACCAGATGATACTACAGAAACTAAAAACTGATTGTATCATGCTATTGACCCCATCCTTACTGACAAGCTCTAGATAGTTGTCTACTTTAGGATGGTGTAGATGTTGTTTATCTGCCCTCTAGACTTGTTAGATAATACCATATATTTCTTATATCAAACTTCTATTTTAGGTTGATAAAACACACGGAGAAACTTCTGGAAGAAAAGGAGGAAAATCTATGCATCAAGGTACTGCAGACACTTCGCGAAATGATGTCCAGGGACATTGAATATAAAGAAAAGGTTAGTCTGTATAAAAATAGGGTCAATTATGAATATTCATGATTGCTTATGAATATTTATAAGCATTCATGAATATTCATAACAAAATATTTAGCCATTTGTTGACAAATAATCTACAAATTAAATAATGAATATAATAAATTGGAAATTTACATACTTGTTACAGGGTAAACATTCACCAAACAAGATTAAAATTGGCAAGATACATTTGCACACTAAAAGAAAATGCTATATTATTTATAATGCTAAATAAAACTACACGCAATTATATTGTTAATTAACAAAGTATAATTATACAATTTTGAGTTAAGAGAAGACAAAGAGCTTGGAAATTCAATATTGATCTTATATTATATTGAATTTATGCACTCATTCGTTCTTATAATTTATGGAATTAATCTCCACCATATATGGTATTGATTACAACTGTAATATTGTTATATTTATTTTATTTTATTAATATCTTTATAAATTGAAATGATGCATGTAATAGTAAACTAATAATATGCAAATTACTAACAATATGTGTACCAATTAATTTGCATGTGTAATTATAACATTTAAATATTATCATAACTAACATCATAGATTCAACAGCCAAGTTTCTTTTTTCTCTAACTCAACTTAAAGGACGAGGATGATGAGTTTGGCATGGCACGGCATCGACAGGTGCCACTTAGCCTCATGAGGGTAAGAAACATGACCAAGTTATCACCTGATTACTTGAGTACCTGGTGATAAACCACCATACCCACCAGGCGATATATTACAGAGCTATCCTTGAAATTTTAACCATTGCTTCAAACTTTCTGTGAATCCATTGGTTGAGGAATATTTATTACTGTATTTCTTTTCAGTAGCTATTGAAACATCACCAGTAGTTCAATAGAGGGCTCATTTCAGTCAAATAATCTGTCCTTATCTGTAGAAGTAGATTTGTTATTGCTGTTCTTACTGCTAGCTATTAGTTTCTTATATACTATTTCAAAGTTGTCTTTCGTGTTCATGAACCAGAAAAAGATTGCTGTTTTCTGTTGCTGCACAGTAGATTTAGAAAGTGCTATATACATTTCATCAATTTTAATTTGCATCTTTATTGCATTCTAGATACCGTAAATGACTCAATAACTAACACAGCACATTCATTTTTTTAGTGGATTCATTTTGCCTTATATTCAAGAGAGGCATTCATTTGAGAGAAATGCGTATTACAAATTACAAATTATTGGGCTGTTAAATTAGTTTTATTCAGAATAGAATATACAGTATCTAATAAGTATCGCAGCACTTGATGGCTGCACAAGCAAAAGAAATCATGTTTAATGCAGTGCTTATTCGAGAGATGTGCTTATTTAATCATTTACAGTAATTTGTGCTTTACTTAAAATACATAATTTTTTTTTGCTTTTAATTTACCAAGTTTTTAATAAAGTAAAATTCTTCAAGTGACTTGTATCTGAAGAATCTCACTGTGTGAACAAAATCTTTTACCAAGCTGGGTTCATATTGAGTTGACTGAAGCAGTGTGCGTCGAGCAATACAATGTGAACCCGGTCTAAATGTTTTTAAGTTCTTCTATTCATTTCTATTGTATACTTATAGAACAAAGACTAACAATAACATAACTATACAAAATGTATGATTAAGCTGCTTCCAAATTGGTACAAACTATTTATGTCTTATGCATATGCATATACAATCTGAACCATGTTTATTTATTCGAAAAGGCTTTTTCATACAATGCACACTTTACTGTTCACTATGTGTATCTATTGTACTGAGAGGACAATAGTAACTTGCATGTAATTTGGTAAATGGTTCGGTTTTGAAACATTAATCAGAATTTTGTATACTGTTTTTTTACAGAACTTAGAGTCCAAAAATGTTCCATTATGTGTGACAAATCGGGGTTCAAACTAAGCCATCTAGGGCCAGGATTTTAGATTAAAATTACCAATAGCACCAATGGGGAGATGTTTTATGGTTTTGGATGATAAAAAGTGTGCATTTAGGTCATAATATTAGGAACTGCAATAATTGGATTGTCAAATTAACTACAGGGGCAAGGGGTTAATATTGGACTGATGAGGAAAAGACTTTACTTACGCAGGGTTCCGAGTTTCCCGGATATCAGCACAGCAAAATATAATTTGATGTGTTTAGAACATTCATTTAAACAGATCTCCCAGATGTGGTGTCTTCCAACTTGGGACCACTGTTATATGTGCAGCAGGATCAGTTTTGAAGTAGTTTAGTTGGTGTTGTGGTTTAAAACTTGCGTTAATAATAATAATAATAATAATAACGATTTTTAAAGCGCAAACATCACCACCAAAAATTGGTGCTCAAGGCGCAGTGTCAAAACAACAGGTAGAGAACAAACAAATCACAAAATAACAAAGTGTAAACAAGTTTTGTTTTTTTTTTATTTTTTTTTTTTAAATTTTATTATTGACAATTATTGACAATTAAGCAGCACAAGAAATCAAAAAGTAAACCAACCTTTTCATTTTCTCAGAGTAATACCATCCTTTCTATCATATATTAACTTGTCAGTTTTTCCTGGAAATATTTTACATTTTATTTCATTGCGTTACAAACTTTTGATAAATAGGAGTAAATGTTGAATCCTAACATCATCGTCATCAACCTCACCATCGTATATGATCATCATTATTTAGCATGCAAATTTGGACAATATAATATTACAACGCAGCCGGACGTGATTTGTTGTATTGTAAATTTATCGGGGACAGTTGGGTTGTACGATCTAAAGACTGTCCCAATGATAAATCACATCAGACTCTGTTGTTCGCCTTTACTTTACATTTTTCCTTATTCTTAATTCAATCATTGCTTTTTCTAGTTTCTGTATAAATTTAGCTTAGATTGAGGTAGATTAATCGGTTTATTAACATATTTATAATTCTATAGATTGAACAACATTGGTTAATTAACAAACTTCTCTTGGGTAATTTTTTTTTTTTTTTTTGAAGTTTGAAAACAATGGTTGTCTTTGGTAGTGACTATTGTCTCCCTAAATCCATTCCTAAACACTAGTGTGTTTAGGGATGTGTTTAAGGGTGTGAGTGCAGTATCTGTGTAAGGATGTGCTATATTTCTATTTACAGTAGTTATATTAATTTTTTTTTTATTTTTTATTTATATGCTTGTTTGTTTCTGTCTCTGCTTGTACAATATATTTGTTTTTATATTAATGTGGCAACAGTTTGTTTTTAATTTGTATGTTTTTTATTCTAACTTTTGTCTTTGTCTTTTTATGGAATATTTATTAAAATGAATAAAATACAGGTAAATACCTATTCATATGAGTATTATAGTAGCCTAGAAGGATAATGTACTGTGCTTTATATTACTTCTTTATTATACATGTTGTTTCTGTGTATTACATGTGTAATAAATATGTTTTACATTATATTTCAAAGGTATAAAATAATACTATTGTTGGATAGTTGGGCATAATTTGTGATAATTTTAATAAAATATCAACATTCAATGAAATCAGCATATGCATACAAAAAGTACAGGAGCTAGTTAAACTAGTTTCCTACAAGAGGATGCACAATGGGCATTGCCTTTGGATATTGTTGCTGAGGTCCACAGATCGACAGCATAAACGTACACATAGTATTATGTAAATGTAGTTAGATATATATAGCGCTTTCTACCAAAATTCACCAAATTTATGCCAAAACGTTCCGGACCAGATATTGGTACCTAAAATTATTAGCTACACTTTATTGTCCCTATTCCAATTAAGATATAACTGTTATATTTGCTGTTGCCTATGTAACAGTTTCGTCTGATTAACATAAATATAAAGTATGTTTTTTCTTTGTGTATATACTCAGTATAATTTTAGCTGAGGATGTATTCTAAAACCATCAATCAAGGGGAATCATTGCTTTCGCTATACCAATTACAGTATTTGCTAAACTTTATTTCTTATCTTTTTTTTTATACCTTGTTCAGCGAACCTACCGCCTGCCAATAAAATTTTATTTTTAGCAGCACACCCACAGCCATGAAAAAATATACAATTAAAAAAAAAAACAACAGTTTTTCTTTATTTTTATCATGCCTACCACTGAAATCTCCAGAAATAAGAAATGCATATTTCTTCCTAATTATATAAATTTAAAGCATTTAACCATCCCATTACTGCACTGTTTACAGGTTTCATCAATAAAATTGTATTTTTATTTTCTCCTACATCTGGATTTTTTTGGTAAAACTCTTTGTTAAATACAAAAATAATTATTTTTCTTCCACCCTCCTCTGACAATCTTTAAAAAAATAAGTTTGCGAAAGAAGGTATAAAAAGAGTCTCACATTATCAATGATAGAAAAAATAAAACATCTGCAAGTTAGCTCAGATCAATGCATAGACTAAATGCAATATCACAGCAGCTTTATACAGTATATCTTTTGATAGTGAATTACACAACAAGAAATCATCAACAATTCTCTCATTATTTTTCTGCAGTTTTTTTGTGAATACATTCCCATACTCTTTTTTGCCCCTAAACATCAATCTAAAGAAATGGGATTGTCAGCTTCTGATACACCATTCATCTAACATTCAAATTTATTATTTGTACTGGTTTCTGTAGTTTCATATTGTGTACATATTTAGGGTTGTTATTTTCTTTTTAAATATGATTATTATGAATTGTCTAGTCAGTGCCAAGAACCTGGAGTCAATTGTCCAATCAAGGAGACCATTAAAATATATTGACTTAATCATGTTCAATGCTTTGAGAGTTACATCAGCTCTTTATCGTAGGAACTTTTAAAATTAATTAAATTAAATTATTTTATATTCACTTTGAGGGTTTTCTTTCACACTAGGGTGAGAAACTACGTCAGAGTTTACTGTTCCGTTACTATGGTAAATCCCACCCACGCTATCAAAAGGAGGGCTCGTCACGAAAGGAAAGCTCCACTTTTCAGCCGAAGCAACACCAATCAAACTCGAATCCTGGTACGATGGTGCTGAGTCGGGCCGAGATGTCGATGGCTCAGGTACAAAACCAGTTAGACGAACAAGGGGCATCAGATTTAGTCATTGACTTGGTGATCAATAACTCGAGCACAAAGGTGTTTCAGGAGAGTGTTGAGCTTGGTATTGCATTATTAGAAGGTGGAAATATTAAAATACAGGTACGCACTGTAAAAATGTAAGTTTGCACTATCAAATATCACCTCACATCACCTATCCTCTTCATGCCATTAGGCACATAAGCCCTACCTAGGTTTAAATAGGCAGTTGGACTATAGGCTAATCACCTGTATCCGTAAAAAGTCATTGATTACGGAAACTATCAAATATAGCATACAAATATTTCTTGGGATGAGGGCATAGTTCAAAATGTAGCCCTGGTAAATATATGTTTAATGCACCACTACATAGATTGTAGGCATTAGAAGGCATGGCTGGAACCATTGCCCAGCTTTTAACCAATCAAATTCCTGGACTTTATCTCGGGACATATTGTAGTACAGCCTGCAAATCACCAAGAGCTATATTTTGAACTCTGACCTGATTAAAACCAAGTAAATATTTGTTTGATGCACCACTACATAGATTGTAGGCATTTGTGGGCATGGTTGGAACCATTGCCCAGCTTTTAACCAATCAAATTCCTGGAATCTATGTAGTCGATATCTAATATAATGTATCATTCACGACCCTTTCTTAAACAAGGTCATAACCAGTGTGGTAATAAAAAAAAATGCTACATTTTTTATGTATTTTTATTATAAAGCAATCAATCTACCATCGTTTAACGAGGGAGAACGATTCAGATAAATTCTTTAAAGTATTTTACGAGAAGATGCGAGAAGCTCAAACTGAAATCAAAGCTACAGGAACCGTGAACACAGGGGAAAATATAGAGTCAAAGAGCACAGACCATGATGTTGGCATGAAGGAACCATCTTCTAGCAGGTTAAAAAAATGTAAGCATATTTAGAAACTATCTTAATCTTATTCTTACAGTTAAAGTTATACTTTCTGTAGTAAAATTTTAAAAAAATCCCCAAACAGTGCACCATCCAATTCAAGACCCCTCTAATTTGAGACCATTTTTGCAAACAACCAAATACAGTAGAACCCCTATTAAGGGGACACATTTGGAACTAAAGAATTGTCCCCTTGATAGGGATGCCCCAAAGGAGGGGTTCTACAGTAATCTTTATTATTTTAACACAAAGCTAATTGAAGACCAACCCCGAGACCACCACAATTTTTCAAACCTCAAATTGGAGGGCGAACTGTATAAAATGTAAAACATTACTAACAACTACAGTAAGCTAATAACATACAAAGTATGCAAATATTGTTTTTGTTCAAATTTACCACATAATTATCTTTAATGTAATAGATAATGTTTTAATATTTCAAACTGATGAAATTTATGTCATTGTGGATTACTCTCTCCATTTCATATTAATATTTAAAAAAAAGCATGTTGTTCCCAATGTCATTCCACAAAAAATGTGTTCACAATTTACCCTGCTTGTTTACCTTGTAACCATGTTTTTTCTTCCCATAATTCTTAGGGGATGAAAGTACATACTCTGCTCCTGTGTTTTCAGGTACCCCAGTGTAATAGAACCCAGTTTTTAAGTAGTGCCCAGTGTAATAGTAACTAGTGTGATAGTACTTGGTGTAATAGTAGCAGTGCAATAGCATCCAGTGTATAGTGCCCATTGTAATAGTGTCCAGTGCATCTTACCAAGTGTATTTGTTAATAGTGTAGATATACTGTATAGGTCATACTTAAAATGACATTGTTTTATTATAACAATAATGTATTAATAATATAGTAATTACTATTGTAAGTATTGTCTATTTTCTGAATACTTACCTTTATAAACCGTAAATAGTCAGTTTGTCCAGGTAAGTATCTCACTCATGGACTACCAACTTATGTAATTGTTGTTGTTGTTATTATTTGAGACTATAATTATATTGTAGTCCCAGTTAATAGTAGAAAAAATATCTTTCCACTCTGTAATTAGTGAGTTTTTGTTAACTTTAGTAAAAGTCTTTTCATGCAACATCTGGAATATTCCACTCATTTTGCCAATGTTTATTGTCTAGCAGTCAACATTTTTGATTCATTTTTATTGTCACATCAACATATTTAAATAGTAATATGATGACATAAATACTAAGCCACTTGATTTAATTTGATAGCAGTTGGAATTAACACAGGTGTTTGGATTTGACCATTGCTGCATTCTAAGTGCCTGGTTCTAGCTCTCATGAGGGTACAGATTTATTATGTAATGTGTCAGCCAATCTGATATTTTAATAAAGCAATTAAACACATCAAATAGGAAGTTGCAATATATTATGTTGTTGCAGCTCCAATCTGATATGTCAATAAAGCAATTAAGCACATCATACTGAATAGAGGCAGGTTCAATGGGGGGCCAGTTGTCTCAGACCCCTACTTGTATATTAAAAAATGGAGGAGAAAAGAAAATTGCATTGTGGAGAATTCCATTTCAAGCTTTCTAGAGTTGTCATAGCCATAACATTTCTTATCTGAACACTTCATCTGTAATATTAGGTAGCTTTTTGATTTGCGCGACAATGCGACGCAAGAGCGGAATCACTCATGTGTGACTGTCCTATCAGGCGTCCTAAGTTCTCTGCATATGTAGATTCTCACATGTGCAGATAAATTAGTGATGTCATTACGTTATAAGTCCTACTGTTGTCGTACAATCAAAAGCTTCCTAGTCTCTATTTCAAATTCCTGGATCCACCACTGCTTAAAGTTGTAATTTGTTATGTAATGTGTTGAGGCTATAACAACTTCCATATCTGATTTTATTTGCTTTATTATTAAAGTTTTTTGTATGTGATATTTATGCAGGGTGATATAAATACTATTATAAACTGATTGTTTAATGCTACTAAACACTCTATGTACATACAAAAATGTACACAAATGAAGGGGTGAAAACACACTTTATCACCAATCCCCCGGTCTCTTGAATGTTGTGATCCAGGGGTTGTTGGAGCTAATTTTGAAACTAAACAGATAAATCTATGTACATACTGAAAAGTACACATGTAAGGTATTTATATTTATAGAGTTACAAATACACATATAAAGCATTGTAAGTAAACAACAGTAGCACTTTATTAATTCTTGTCATTCGCATTTCAGCTCGCATTCCAAATGGCTGCATTAGTGAGGATTTAAAGGAGCAACTAGCAGATGCCGCGCTCCACACAAGCAAAGCATTTGAAGCCGTTAGAAAAGGTCGCAGTGATGAGAGTAGTGGGGGTGGCGGTACAACTATCGATATGGTGGGGGGTACAGTGGAAAAAGGCAAGGGTGATGACCATGAAATGAGTGCTGAGATTAAGATCATGCAACCAATACTTCGCTTCTTACAGCTGTTATGCGAAAACCACAACAGAGATTTACAAGTAGGTTTGTTAAGAGAATGGCTTACCAGAATATCACTCAAAAACATGAGTTAACTTATCTAAAAGCATCAGTAACTATTCCTAAATTTAGCCTGCTAACCTTGGCAAATTACATTTTATATTGAGTAAGACAGACAGAAACTCCAAAGAGTGCATGAAATCAAATATACCTGTGACCTTGTCCTTTGGCCTTTTTTTTCCTAAAATGTAATTATCTCTTTCTTTGATTATTATGCACCATTCCACTAAATTTTTTTTGCATAATCTTCGTATGCTAGCAATATTCATTTGTCTGACACTGTAGAATATACATAATTTAATCAACAACTTTTAACAGGTGCATTAATAGTATGTACTGTATCTACATTTATTGATACTATATGCATATGTTAACCTACATAATCTCATCTGTCACAAGCCAAAAAAAAAAATAAAAATTAGAGGTTATACAGTACAGTGAGCTTGAATATGTTTATTTTTCTATTATGTATTTAAGATCTTAATAAACTTGAAAAAATATATTTACAGACACTAAAATCTGTTTTACAAAAAAGAATCGAGTAATACTGAGAAATTCTGGCTACTTTCAAACTTAAATTGATTAAAAGTTGCATCTTATCTTTAAGATGTACTTTCTAGAGCAAGCAAAAGGTTAAACCAGTTTCATTAAAAGAGTTATAGAATATTTTGAAGCTTTACTTTAAATACATTTTGTTTCCTGTGTATATTTACCATATGTTGTACTACATGATTTTTAACCTATTATTCTTCTCGTTTTTTTCTTACAGAATTACCTGCGCAACCAATCAAACAAGAACAACCACAACCTTGTATGCGAGACGCTGAAGTTCTTGGATTGTATTTGTGGCAGCACTACAGGTGGCCTGGGCCTTCTGGGATTGTACATAAATGAACACAATGTCGCCCTCATCAACCAAACCTTGGAGAGTCTCACAGAATACTGTCAAGGACCCTGCCACGAAAACCAGGTATGCTACAAGCTTTTACCTTTCCAGTGGTAGGCCAGTGGGGTCCATGAGGACACAGAGTCCACATCAGGGAACCTTGGATCCCCGGTCAGGAAGAAACTAACCATTTTGTTGTGGAACACTGCTTTAAAAAGCCTACTACTCTCTAGTAGTGATTGTTACCTGTTGTACAAATTATCTCACCAGTTTTGATAAGATAAGCTTGCATATCCCATTGCTAGTCCTACAGTATAAATATAAATGCACATTAACATTTACATGATTATTTTGCCTCCCCAGAATGCAATAGCTATGCATGAGTCGAACGGTATTGATATCATCATAGCTCTGATTCTTAATGACATTATTCCACTCAGTAAACATCGTATGGATCTCGTTATGCAGCTTAAAGTAAGTGCATCTAATCACAGGTCACTAATTATAACTCTCAATTTTAATATGATCAATTTTTAATTACTGATTAACCTTAGTCTCACCTATTAGTGAGGTTTGGCCATTACTATAAATAGAGATACTGGTTATAACAAAATATTTACAATGTGTGTTTTTCAATCATATGCAAACATTAGCTCCTTGCTGAAAAATTATGTTTTTAATCAAATTGAAAGGAATCTAATGAAGTATATCTCAAGAGTAGGATTTCATACCAATGGGAAGGGGCAAAGATTAGTGTTTGGTGTATAGAATGAAGGAGTGATAAGGGATGACTTATACTTACAATTTTTGTGCCTTTAATGAATTTTAACTTGATACAAATACAGAACATTTGAAATTTTTATATATGAGTAATATAAAATAATTTATATATTCTTCTTTAGAACAATGCGTCCAAACTACTACTAGCAATAATGGAGAGCAGGCACGATAGTGAGAATGCCGAGAGAATTCTTTACAATATGACACCAAAGCAGCTGGTAAGATTCTTACTGCCCTCTATCAATAGGTATATGTACTGCAGATAAAAAACTATGGAGTAATTTTCTTAATTGGTTTACCTTCAAAATAGAATCTGATATTGTTAGTTACACATATGTGGTATGTTTACAGGTTGATGTGATCAAGCAGGTGTACCAGCAAGAAGTACAGCAGCATGCTGAAGTGGATGAAGATGGTCTCAGAATAACACCAGTTGAAGAGGGGACGTCACCGAGGAGAGTTGGTCACAACATCTACATTCTAGCTCATCAGGTATGTTTGGTTGCAGTTTACATCTTTGATTCCAATCATCTACATCCACTACCATCCAATATATCAGTGCCATCTCTGATATCTTTACTGCTATTAATGATATTATTTGCTGTTTTTGACATCTGCACTGACATCATTACCACCATTATCACTGCCATAAATGCCATCTTCGCTGATGTCATATAATTACTTCTATCACTGACATAACTACTGCTATCATTGGCATCTGCACTGTCATTACTGACATTGTCTGTGATATCATTGGCATCTTCACTGACATCTCTGACATTGTCACTGCTATCATTGGCATATTCACTGACATTACTGACAATGTCACTGATATCATTGGCATCTTCACAGACATCACTGACATTTTCACTGCTATCATTGGCATCTTCTCTGCCATCACAATGTCACTCCCATCTCTGATATCACTACATCAGTGTTTCTATCATTGCTGACATCATCATTGACATCACTACCACAGTCACTGGCATCATTGACGCATTATCTGTCATCACCCATAACTGTACATTATCCCTGTCATTAAATTTCTGTGTACATGGAATTAATGGCACATCTTTCAAATATATTTGTTATTCTGTTTAATGTATATTTTATGTCACAATGTATAGTATATCAAATAATATATGCATGTAGATTAACTGTATTAAATTGTGTTATTACTATACTATTGACTTTTTAAAATTCCTGCAGCTTTCTCAGCATAATAAAGAACTTGGTCGACTTCTCAAGCCAATCAATCTTGAAGACCATAACAACAAAGCCTTGAAATATTATGCCGAAAATACCGCACAAATCGAACTTGTCCGCAAGGATAGGACCATGGAGAGGATTGTCTTCCCTGTGCCGCCACTCTGCGAGTACTTGACACGTGAGACACGGGAAAATCTTTACCACACAGCAGAGCGAGATGAGCAGGGGAGCAAAGTTTCTGATTTCTTTGAGCGTTCTGAGGATATGCTCATGGAGATGAAATGGCAGAAAAAGCTCAGAAGTAATTGGGTTTTTTTATTCAATAATATTAATGATATATTTAGGGGGCTTCAAAGTGCTAGAGAATGGAGAAGCGAAAATGTTTCTTCTGGTTTTTGCTATTTTGATGTAATGTGAATTGCTGAATAGACAACAACAACAATAATAAAGTTATATATAGTTGTATAGCAAATTATTTTGTTTTATCTGATATTTGCAATGACCATTTTTGAACATCAAACTTACTGATGCCTTGTGCTCTGTAAGTGTTTGTTTGCAAGTGCATGAGATATATATTTTACAAAGTATTAAAAGTCTACAGTATTACAAACATTCAGCTCAGTAAATCTATTGTAATTTTTTTTATGCTTTCTTGCAGGCCGGTCGCTTCTGTACTGGACAAGTCGCAATGTCTCTCTCTGGAAGATTATTTCGCTGAACCTAGCTGTACTTATCAATATTCTGGTGGCATTATTTTATCCCTTTGAAAAGGGAACTGGAGGTAAAAAATTCATGTAGTACCATATTTCTCGCAACCCCGTCCCTTGAACAAGACATATCTACTATTCAGAATAAGCTCTTTTATGAATATGATGATATTGGCAGTGATAATAATTGTGATTGTTACAGTGACACAGATTGGAAATGATGGTGGCGTTTTGGTGATGTTGGTGTTGATGATTATGTTTATGATGATGATGATGGTGATGATGACAACCCTAGTGATGGTTATGATGGTAATATTTGTGGTAGTGGTGTTGATGATGGTAATAAATGTGATGATGATAATGAAAATGATGATGATTGACAGTGATGATGATAATGGTGATGATTGTAATTATGATGATAATGATGTTGTTTAGTGTCAGTAATGATTAATAATGGCTGTGACTATGACAGTGATGATAATATTATGTAGATCCAATTAGAAAATAATGCAAAAATATAATTTGTGAAATTTCTCTGCTTTTCTGTTCCACAGAGCTGGACCCCAAGTTATCTGGCCTTGTTTGGATTGCCATGGTTGTGTCATTTCTCTCAGTACTAATGCTACCAACACCAACCGGTTATCGCATGTTTTTTATATCAACAGTTTTCCGTTTTATCTACTCGGTGGATGTTTCATCAACGCTTGTTATCCTCGGCCTAATAAATGTAAGTCTTTAAATGCCTTTGTTTATTTTTTATTCTGATTTATTTTGACAAATTTGATCAATTAATGTTTGAATAATTGTTGTCATTTTATTTAAATTTTATAGAAAGTAGCTTTTTGATGTTCTGTAATCTCGGTCTCAATATTAAGAGTCTTAGGTGCAATGGCTAATAGAATATACTGTACATCCAGAGGACTAAGCTTTCTGACAGGCAGGCTGGCAATTTCTGATGGAGACCAGCCTTTGGGGATTCATTGACTAACCCTCTGATGCCTGAACGGAGGCTGTATCTCAGCAAGTTTGATAGGGGATTTCATTCATTTCTTTGGCAGTGGATTTGTAGGATTGGAACTTATAGGATTATGGTATTAGTAGGCAGGCCTTTTTTAACCACAAACTTGGCCCATTTTACCTCTTATTATCCAACAATGGATTATTAGAATAAATGGGTCAGTAAAATAGATTCAATGTAAATATAACACAGTTTTCCTATGCAATGTGTGTCGTTTTCTTGATGATTCCAAAACATAGATCATCAAAAAAATAATGAACAAACATCATATTTAATATTAATTGGATCTAGATGAATTTATTCAACACATTTTTGGTTATTCAATTTCATTTAGTCTCTGATTAATTTTAATGCAAATGCATTTCCAAAGCCTTATATTAAAACTAAATGTCACAATACCTTGCTTTCAACTTATGTCAGATTGGATTGACATTTAAAAAATATGTTTTTTTAATATGAAGATTAAAACATTGCATGTTTAATTATTTACCAGATATTTTCACGAAGTCCCTGACTATAAACATGAATAATTAATGAAAATTTTAATGATTAATGGTACATTTTTCCCACATTATTATTTATAAATGGCAGTTGGGTGTTATTTTACTGACTATTAACACATTAGCTGCTACCTACAAATGTGCTTATATTGTAGGGTGTTTCTCTGTCCATATTAATGTTTCTGTGTGTAAATATATGTGATTTCCCCATACATTGGCATGGTGATGAAATACCACACTCATAGATGGGCATGATGCTGTCATATCACACCCATATATGGGCATGATAATGTCATATTACACTTGTATATGAGCAAATCACACATTTTTGTTACATAGAATAAGACAATTTCCTTGTCAATTTCCATGTCACTTTTTGTGTAAATTTCCATGTCATTCAACCTATTTGAACTTATTTTAAACTCGTTTATTTTTCAATTCTACTACAAATGCACAGGATTTCATATATCAACACAACCTTCAAGTAAATGCTCATTAAAAAAGGCTTTTTACTGAAAAAAAAAAACAAAAAAAAAAACAAGCTAACACTTGGGTGCTCAGATAATTTTTAGTTCTCTCTTATAAGGGGTCGCTTATTTTACTGGGATGATTTGAAAGGCGTACGTATGGGCGTTTTAAGCTGATTTAATCTTATTTCCTATTTTAAATTTGCTTAAAAATTCTTTACAATCAATTAAATTATATTTGATTAATTAGATGTGCACCATTTTATAATTTATTTTGATTATCGATAAGAAATGTTCTGTTTACAAAAAACAGAATTGGTCGTATATTCCTGCAACATTGGTGTGTTTACACTGCTGTTGTGTTTGTGCATGATTTTACTGAGATTACAAATGAATATCACTCTAAATAGGATTTTTATTCAAATGGAGTGCTTATGAAAATGACTATAATTCTTCACTAGATATATGATAAATCATGTTTAACATTTAAAACCAATGTCATATCTTCAACATCTTTGTATTTGTTCCGTAGATGCTCACATAATTTCACACCTACATTCATCCTCTTGCAAATGCTAAAACCCTTTGCATTACATCTTTTTTAATTGGTTGTGATGTGATGTGATCTGTTTACATATACTGTACTGAGGATTAAAATGTAATGTACTATATATGCAGCATCACATCAAGCAAAAAGCACTTGTAATTTTTGATGCAGATTAATTGCATTTGTAATGCACTTTGGAGTTAATCATTACTTGAGGTTCTTTCAAAGATTATAGAATGAATATATATACATCATCATCACTTGCAATGCCCTTTACACCAAATAAGAAAAGCAAAACAGTGTGATAATGTGGTCTGTTATGATTATATTATTTTGAATTAGATTGTTGATGTAGCTTTAGTGTTAATGTGCTTGTCTTTAAATCTATTGAGACAACAGGTCATTGTACCTCATAATGTAATTTAATGTAGTTCAATTTATATAGCGCTGAAGTCTCAAAGCAATTGAGGTGTGGAATTACTCATACAGTAATTTGCTGCTCCCCTAGTGTCTCTTTGTGTCTGAGCTACGCGGTAAACCGATACGGTACCAGCTATCTCTCATCTGTCCGCAACAGACGCTCTATGAGCAATACACCGGGGTAACCCCCTACTCGTCTCGAAAGATGTACTGGGTTCTTTAAAAGTGCTGGGCCTATGGTTTATAGTCCTTATCTAAGAAGACTTGTTCCACCACCAGAACCATATGCGAGTGTGCTATTCGAATCAGCGCCGATATTATGGCTCTAGGTTGTAGCGCTCCTGCCTTAACCACTCAACCATTCAACTTGGTTTTCACTTTTAATTTGTGAGTGATGAGAAAAATTTATAAAATAAAGATATAATAAAATTTTTTTTTTTTTTCAGGTTGTGATAAAATGCATCTTTGTAGTTAGTCTTCTTGGCAACAAAGGCTTAGGTAATCGTGGGATACTGGGTGTGGCCACTGATTCAGGAATCTTGTATCATTTCTTATTTTTAGCATTCTGTTTTGGTGGTATCTTTTCCCGGGAATATATTTACAGTTTTCTGGTAAGCTCTATTTTTTTTACAATTAATCCTAAACTTATAAGTATATAATTTAATAATGCAGAACATAGTCTTATATTAATGAGTAGAATTGTGAGAAACTAGCTTTGCACTTTTATAATTTCATAATTCTTTTCTACATTTCTTTTCTTGCGTTTAGCTTCTTGACGTGGTACGACAAGAAGAGACTCTGCTGAACGTTATTCGCTCAGTCACAAGAAATGGTCGTTCCATCATTTTGACCGGTGTACTCGCATTGATCCTTGTATATCTCTTTTCCATTGTCGGATTCCTGTTTTTCAAAAGTGACTTTCCACCTGATCCAATCGAGGAAGGTAGGAAAGGAATTATCCGATTATTTAGAAATTTGTTTTAAAAATTCTGTTTACTGCAGTCATTTATATTTCCTGTCCACGTCTAACAAATTTTCGTACACCTTATCACATTTTACCTTTTTATCATCCCTTATATAATATTGTTTCATTCTTTTTTTCTTAGTTTTTTTCTGTCTTTGATGCACTTTTAATAATATATTCTCCAACTTTTAATTTTTTACTTATATAATTACTTATTACTTACCTCAAATATAATGAAATAGTCCGACCCAGGCTTATATAATGCAACAGTGTTTGAAACAGGCCTCAATTGTCCTTGCGCTGCAGGAAGTGTACAATTACCATTGAGAGTTTAGCTTGAAAGCCATGTGCATTGTGTTGATTTCGTTTAGCTATTAATGCATACTTTCAATGAATGCTAGGCAAGCAAATGTGGTGGTGATAAGAGAAAATAGTCAGAATTCGCGTTGGCCGTTTTGATATATAGGCCAAAATGATGGTATAGAGGTCAATATACTTGAGTGTAGAGTTAATTACTACACTACCTTAATAGTGAGGCTTGAAGGGAATGCTACAACAATGTTTTATTTATGGTTGATTTTAAAATTATTATACAGGGTATTAAATGATGTTTTATTTATTCAGTACAGTATTTTAGGATTTAAAAAAATATAAAGATATAATAATATACCTGCAAGAATTCCCAAACCAATATAAAGTGTTTTCCAAACCATCTGATATAAGTAATTACAGTAGCTTACTGACATAACGGATGGCTCTATTTAGCTAGTAATCTAAATGTTGCTTCTTATATCAGTAACAAACAAAAAATTGTTTAAATGTTTTATTGATGATGAAAATGTTTTACTTTATATTCATGACTCTAGTTGTTGCTAATAAATTTTGATTAATAAAGTTTTATTTTTTTTATGAGGTAAATATACCCATCTTTCTGAATGTAGATGAACAGTATACATACCTACTAAAATTCAAACCACGTACATCTCTCATGTAACACAAATGCAATTAGGTAAACTACGATTTGACTGCATTATTTATTGTAAGTGCAAATTAGATTTGGCTAGGGTTGCACAAAATCTAAGTCGCAATGTCTCGCTGCTCTAGAATCTAGAGTGAAGCAAGCATTTCTTTAAAAAAATAGTGGTTTAGACCATTCTCCTTTTATTGCTGTTGTAATATGTGTTCTATTGGCCTTGTATATCGTCTTTTAAAGTCCATATTTCTTCCTATTTACTTTAACCACATGTTTTACCATTGTTTTAGGACATTTTCATTTTGCCGGTGGTGGATGCAGAGGGGGTGGAGTTACATACCCTATACTGACAACATTTCCTCCCCTTCCAAGTCCACCACTGTTTATTTAACCAAATTCATTTACTTAATTTCATTTTTTTTTTCCTTCCTTCTCTTCACCATTCCAATTGTCATCCACTATGTACAGTAGACACCAATAGCCTCGGCGCAGTCACTTCCAACATTGCTAACCTTTCCAATGGAACAAATGGCATCCCCAAAGGTAGTACATCTGCTCATTACGTTGATAATCATCTCACACCTGTCAATCATATCATCAGTGTGTCAGCAAAACGTTGTTTATTTTGAGATATTTATAATTACACAAAACTAGTCAGTAATTGTTTTTGTTGATTTTTCCCCTTCTATCCTGTTCTTGTGTGTTTTCGATAAAAAGTGTTTCTACATGGCACATTGGTCTCTTTCTGTGCATGGATCTTCATCAAACTTGGTCAAAGGGAAGCCCATATATCAAAGAAGTGCCTAGTAAAATATTATGTAATTCAACTTATTTTTTTATACTAGTAAACTGGTTTTACACTGATATTAACATAAATATTAGGCATTGTAATATCATATCATAGCAAATATATGGGCACAGTCACATTAAACTTTATAGTATGAAAAGAACATATGAGTCTAACATAGACACACATAGAGTATTGAGCCCAGGATGTTAATATTTAAACAGCATTAAAGGATAAATGTGGACTTAATTGTGCCATTATTCACTCCCTACCCATAATTTGTACCCTATGATCTTTTCCTTTCCTATATCTTTCCCTTCCGATTATCTGTCTCCCTTCCTTTAAAGAAGCACACACAAGACTGTCACATTTAAAAATATATATTTAATCACCACAAGTCTAGTCCAAATTTTTAATAATCAGATAATTAGTCAAAATCATTTATCTGTTTGTTTTGGTGTGATTTTCTCTGTGAGATGATTTCAACTGTTTTCAAATATATGTAAATTTCTGTTGCCAATGTTTTTCTAATGTTACCTGTTTCTTGTTGGTTCTTATAGAATGTGCTAAAAATAGTTTGAATTATATGACATTTTGATCATGACTTATAGAAATGATTTGATCATTTGTATTATTAATAGTGATGTATAATATTATTGTTGTTGTTTTTGATATTAATAATAATAAATGATTATTTATAAATTGCTTTTTCAACATGAAAATATATCCATAAAACCTAAAATATTTGACAGTATGATATTATATAACACCAGCCATAACCTTAAGTATTTATTATACAAAATATATCCAAACCAATAGCACATAAGTTTATCAAAATAAAATAATATTCATAGAATAAGAACTAGGAAGGGCATGAGACATGATGCTGACAAGCATTGCTGTTAGCATTATTTTAGTAATTAATATTAATGTAATAATTAATTTTATTGATATTATAGAGTATCACTATACGATTATTACACTATTGTTATCATAATATATTATTCAAAGACTTTGAATATGGTATGATTCAACGAAAATGCGTTTTCCCCTGTTCCCCGTAAATTGCTAGATTAATTGTGATAAATGACCACTTCAAAATAGAAAGTCTAGATATTCCGAATACATAACCAACGCATTTAATTGTGATAGTCATTCGGAAACGAGATATGAGGGCCATAATTATTCAGCAGTAATTAAGGTACATCGTTAGTTATTTCACCCACATATCCAGTAACCATTAGAAACGAATAAATTTTTTTTTTTAGTTCTCGCTCGTGCTGTTTTAATACGGTCGTAAATTTGGCTGTCGCGTGTCAGGGGATGATGAGACATGGTGTACGTGTCAAACGCTACCGTGAAAATCCTGCGGGATTTACCTCCGAGCCGTCATATACATGATGTGGTTTATGTGATCACGGTTAGATAACAGAAGATAGAGTTTCATGCGTTTGGTGATTTTCTAGTGGAAATTAGTTATATAAGATTAAAGATGATATATAAAGCAAATACCAAACTCCGAGTTCATTGCATTTCATTTATTTCGTTATCATAATACACAAACAAGTACGCACATAAGTGCAAGGCCAATATGTACAAAATTTAAATAATTTGTCATTAACAAATTAACAAGAGTAATGAAACATGAAACAAATATAATGATTATTAATTGTACTTACCTTTAGATCCAAAGATTTTTTCAAAAAATATTATGACACAAATGAGATATTTTGTGATTATTCGCATCTTGGGGTAGTTTTTAATGAATCATTGGTTCAAATCATGCCTAAGTAATAATATTACATATTTTTTACTGAACGCAAAATAATTGTAATTGAATTTTTTTTTTTGATTTGAAAGAAATTTCAAGCCCTTTCCAGACTATCAAATTTTATTTGATAGTTTACATGTGACATGCCTAAATATGGTCTGATGACATCACATCATGACCATATATAGGCACATTATGACTATATATGGTATATATACAGTTTTTTGTCAAAGAAAATTTGATAGCATGGACAGCACAGCTTTAGGTATAACAAATTATGAAAGAGAAAATGGGCTATTGTGGTTCTGAGCACATTTGGTGTGTTTTTATCATTGGTTCGAATCCCAACGTGATCATCTTATATCTTATGATTGTATGTTAATGAATATAGTCGTGTTAGTTGAGGTAAAGTCAACACAAAATGTATGACATGCGTAGCTCGCTTTAATCAAATTTGTTCTGTGCCGGTAGCTTTTCATGGCAGTGGGTAAGCCTGCATTAAAAGCCAAGAATTCTAATGTAGTAAATAATGACTATAAGATAATGCTAAGTTGAGCTGAAGATTTCTAAATGCATTCACTGTGATATTTTAAGATGCCAGCCTCAGGCCCTTAGTGTTTCTTGCAGTTTAATTGTACGTAGCTGTTATTTTTACTTTGCTACGATCGGTCACTGTGTATTTGATCATGAAAATGACCATATTATTCATCATCATTCAAGTCACTTTTTAGTTGAATCCATTCAAACCAGAACAGAAATTCAGGATATAGCAATAAAGAGCAATCAAATTCCAATGTAGTGACATGTAAAGGAAACATAACAAATTTATAAAACACAATAAGTATGTACATATTTATTTACAAAAATAAGAATATAGTATAATCTTGAGTGTAGTTTACATGTTTTATATATCTATTTTATTAAATAACACTATTAATATTGTTATTTATGTTTGATATTGATTTAATAATCATAATTATTATTTTTATTGTTAGTATTTCTGTTAGGATATCCATCGTTATTTTTATTATTTTTCATATATATAAATAAGGAAATTTGTGAGGTGAAAAATATTGTCCCAACTGAAATGCAAAATTGATCTTGATTAATATGAAGAAGTCTTTACTAAGCCACTGGGACTTTATTGCAAATTTGAATCTGATGAAGAAAATTCTTTCACTGTCTGCATGAATGCACTGTGGTTTTTTTCCATACACATTCCTTTATCATTACCAATTACAATTCATATTATTATTTATTTATTTATGGTATCTTTATTAAAAGCAATGTGCAAAGGCAGTATAAAACTGAAATGGAGCACATTTTACAAAGGATGTTTGATTTACCGCCAAGATAGTTCAGAGGTTACTGTCTATATTATACGTTTGTAACTGTTAACTTACATTTTAATACATTTTAGATTTTTGCTTTTCAATTCAGCCATTTTTTATTGTTGTTTCCCAGTGTGTCTGCCTTTCAATTTACAAATAATGTAACAAATTGCTAAATAATGGAAACAGTGCTCAAATATACCGTGGGAACAAATTAATATGTTATGATCATATCAAGTATATCCCCACAAAAAGTTGTCAAAAATAAATGCTAAAACAATGATTTTGACTTTAGATGGGACTCAGGCCTGCTATCTATTGCTATGAAGGTGGGCATCTTATAATTACTTGTATAATTATAAGATGTGGTTTCTTTCCTTTGCCAATTTTTTAAAGCACTGTAACCCTTTTTCTCAGTTGTAGACTCCTCTTCTTTGACATTTATAATTTATATATAATAAATAATAAGTTACGCTGATGGAGTCTTGAGGACAAGATGAAATATTCGTTCCCTGAATATATATATTGTGTTCTACTGTCTAACTCAACGTTTTCGCATCATTATTTTCTGTCTTATATTCTGTATATATATATATGTTTAGGAATATATGTATATCACGCTATTCAGTTTATATTCACTCCATTCACTACAGTTGATGTGCTCTATTGTTCAGCTAACAACTGTTCTTCGTCTCAACCCACCTTACCAGTCACCATGCAGCAAGGTAACTAAATCTCCTTCCATTCCTCTCAGTCACTCTCACATCACACGACCTCAACTGCATATCCAAAGTACGACTCACATTACCACTCCACACTACCCATCCTACAGTATGTATATGTCTCACCTCCTTACTTCAGGCAGAGGCAGTGGTGTCATGCAAAGGCAGTGGTGTCATGCAGAAGAGGGGTGGGCCTTGTAAATAATGCTAGATAGGGACTTTTGTAAACTCAGCGAGTGTTATATTTATGAGCGAAGTGATTAGCTTGTGCTTGGATTAGGCGGAATACTTCAGAGATTTTAGCATTTGCAATAATGTATCAACAAAGTTATAGAAACGTGCAACTTAATAGGAATAAAATGAAAATCAGACTTATGCTTTCGCTTGGCGTAAACCTTGCGGCGCTTTTTGGATCACCCTGAAGCTCGGATTCACTGAACTGGAAACCCACCCTTCGTCTGCCATGAATGTGATGCCACTGTTCTGATGTAAAACTCGCAAAACCTAAAATTCTGTTCTCACAAAATAAAATTGTGTTCCCAAGCCTGAAATTTTGAAACGCAGCCTATAGTTTAAAAAAATATAAACTTGCCATTGCAGATTTTTTATTTTCTGTTTGCTTCAGCAACAGAACAATTTTTTGGTCTAATTTAAATATTTTATACATTACTACAGGTATCTCAACATACAACCTATCTTTTTTGTACTTGGTATTATTCATATCTGTCACAAAAAATTAATATACTAACTTTTTTTTCTGTAGTTTCCTATGCACACATGTATATTTTTAAGGAGATGTTATTTTATCAAATCAGCCATTGAAAAGAAAGTTTCTAGAAATTTGATAGATAAGCACATCAGATACATTTTAAAATTCTGTAAATTACAGAATTGATATTGAGTCATATAAATATTTATTTGCTGCAGTAGAGGAAAAAATATTTCTGATCTATCTTTAATTATTAGCATCATGTAACGGCATTACTATCCATTTTAATTAACTAAACTACTGTGACATAATGAGATTAATTATTTACAGAAGATGAAAGCGTCAATGGTACTGAGAAGCGTAGAACGTGCGATACACTTTGGAAGTGTATTATTACGACATTGAACCATGGATTACGTAATGGAGGAGGAATAGGAGATATACTGCGGGCGCCCTCAAACACTGTAAGAGGAATTTGCTAAACCAGTCCTTAAATTATAATATTTATGATCAAATATTTTATCTAATTTTATTCATGTGCTTATCAGTAATTATGTACAATCTGTTTTAAACTAATAATATAAACTTTATATACATACAATTTAATATTTCGTAAATTTATAGAATTTTAATTTAATTCAATATATTTTTCTTGCAAATTTAACAAATCCAAAATTATATTGTTTCTGTATTCTTTGTGTAGACCCTAAAATCGGCTGGTAATCAATTTATGAGGGATTTTTTTATAAAGCTGTTTGTGTTAATAATCCTATTGAATAATTTGTATTTGACTTGGCATTTAGGAAAGATCACACCGCATTAAGAAGGAATTAAATTATTAAGGATTCAATTTTTTGCTCAGTATTCATAAATTTCTCTGACAGGAACCACTTTTTATTGCACGTGTCATCTACGATATGCTGTTCTTCTTCATCGTCATTATCATCGTTTTGAACCTCATCTTTGGTGTCATCATCGATACATTTGCTGATTTGAGGAATGAAAAACAAAGAAAAGAAGAGGTGCTAAAAAATACATGTTTCATATGCGGTAAGTCAATCAATCAATCAATCAATTTATCAATCAATCAGTCAGTCAATCAACCAATCAATCAGCCAATCAATCAGTCAGTCAGTCAATCAATCAATCAGTCAATCACTCAGTTTATCAATCAGTCAATCAATCAGTCAATTAATCAATTGGTCAATCACTCAATTTATCAATCAATCAGGCAGTCAATCGATCAACCAATAAATCAGTCAGTCAGTTAATCAATAAATCAATCAGTCAATCAATTTATCAATCAATCAACTAAACAATCAATTAGTCAATCAATCAATCAGTCACCAATCAATCAATCATCAATCAATCTGTCACCAAAATGTATCGCAACCTGTGTTTGGTGGAGCTCAAGAGTCGGGTATCAAACAGTGCATGCAAATCAATGCTAGTAACAATACTAATATTAATGATAACAATAATTTGTTGGCATGTTGCTCTACAGAGTTAAAGTCTCAGAGCACTTCTCATTACTACCCCAGTCATTGTAATGATAATATTCTGACATTTATATTGCAGGTTATACTGACAATATCAAGCGCTTTATGTTGTTGCCCCTGGACAACATGAACATTTATACACAATGTGCAACCTTTCCCAATCCCTGGGAGGAGTATTTCTAGTTGCATGAACATTCATCATATATCGCTGTCATCCTGCTGCATATCTACTTATAATCCTTGGTCGACAGAAACAAAAAATGTAGATTAATTACCTTGCCTGGTGAGAATCCAAGTGAGTGACACAAACCCTGACCCTGCGATTGAAAGCCAAATCACTATGTTAGCCCCCAATCGCACGTATTTCAATCCTTCGATATGTGCATTTGCTTGGAGGTAAGAATGGCATTGTAGCCATACTTGCCCTCCATTCCCTACAGTTCTGGTTTGAAATGCTGTGAAGGTTACTGGGTTCTTATTACTCATGTCCAAAACTACTCCACTCCCTAAACCTCAAACAGAAAATAATCAATCATTTAAATATATATATATATATATGTATGTATATATA